TGGGATGGGATGGGATGGGATGGGATGGGATGGGATGGGATGGGATGAGGATGGGATGGGATAGGATGGGATGGGGATGGAAATGAGGATGGGGATGGGATGGGATGCGGATGGGATGGGATAGGATAGGATAGGAATGGAGGTGGGATGGGATGGAGATGCGGATGGGATGGGGATGGAGATGGAACGGGATAGGATAAAAGAATCTCACAGAGATGGAGATGGGACATGAAAGCCCTCAGGGCGTGGGATGGAAGGGGAAAGCTAGTTAGAGCTGGAGAAGGGGTGGGAAACCTGTAGGGACAGGTATGGACGGTGCAGACCCAGCTGGGTGCCCTCCGCTCCCCCGGAGCCCAGTGCACCCCTCCCTGAGGGCAGCAGGAGGCTGAGGCCCCGCGGCGCCCTGTGGGCAGAGCTCTGCTCTCACCCAGCGCAGGGAGGGGACGTGAGCGGCGCGGTGGCCGCCGTGTCCTTTTAAAGTCACCCGCTGGCACTCAGCCCTCCGAGGCGCCGGAGGCATCAATCTCTGCGGGCCGTCGGTGTCAGCTGGGTATTTAGTGAAATGTTTCTTAAATGAACGCTTGATGGAAGAAGAGGGATGGCTGCGCCGTGCCGGGACAAGGTTATCCCTGCCGGCTGCCGGCGATTGACCGCGGGCACGGCGACGGCCATGACCTGCAGGAGCTGATCCCAAATCTCATTCCAGTCACGTCTGGGAGCGAAATGCATCTGGGAGGGGGAAAGGTGGGGCAGAGCCTGCAGGCGGCTGGGGCAGCAGGGGTCTGATCCAAAGCACCTCCGTGGGGTGGGCTGAGCGGGGGTCCCGAATGCCTGCAGCAAAAGGTGTGCTCCTGCCCCCCATTATACGGTCCTGTACTGAAATCTGTGGTCCTGCATGTGTGCTGTGCCAGCCCATGTCACCCTGCGCCCCTGCGTGGACCCACTGTACGATCCTACACCCCACCACTCCTGCACCCCTCCAGATGTCTCTCCACAGGGCTCTCAGCTCTCCCTCCCCCCACACCCTCAGTCCCTTGCAAATGAACCCCCAGCAAGGCGCAGCTGAGATGCACTGAGCTCACCAGGTCTCAGCGGGGACATGGGTGGCTTTGGGCGCCGTGCCTCTGCCCTGCTCCCCCTTGAATTTAACCCTATAAAAAGCAAAAGGGACCACATGGATGAGGTGGCAGCTCTGCGCCACGCACTGCTGTGTTGGTGATGGATGAGCGCTGGGTACAACAGGGGGACAGCAGCAGCTGGTGGAGCAACAGGCGAGGTGCCTGTGTCCCCAGATGTCCCCACATGCACATCCTCCCGAGGGCAAATGCAGTTCCCTTGTACAAAAGCAATTCCCTCGTGCAAATGCCCGTTGGTTACACATGCACCCCCTCCAGGTGCAAAAGCATCCCTTGTGCAAAGGGGGAAGGGGGGGGGGGGGAGGCTGGATGTGGCCCAGGCTGCAACGTCAGCACAGCGGTGTGCAGGACGCAGCGCTCAGGGTGCGCTGTGCTCCCACTGCTGTGTGCTCCATGCATAATGCATGATGCACAACGTGGCTGCAGGCCCGGGCGCTGCTTCGCCACCGCGCAGGACAAGGGCAGAATGACAAGTGGGACCCGCAGGGCAGGCAGCCCGGGGACAACGTGGGGACACCACGGCAGCATCCCCTTCCAGCGCCCCCAGACCTCCCCAGCACGCACTGAAATGCAGTGGGAAACTGCTGCCAAAAGGAAACCTGAAGAAAACCCATTTTTCTCCCCAGATCTGCCCCAAATATCACAGCTCCGTCCCCGCAGCCCCGAGGACCCACATCTGCCCACCCTGCGCAGTGCTCCCCATGCACGGGGCTCAGCCTGGGTTTGCAGAGCTGGAGGCAATGGGTGGGAGGAGGAGTTGTTACGGGGCCTGGGAAGCGCTGCTTGATAGTTTTTTTTCCTTGGGCAAAGTCATCTCAACCCAACCCACATCCTCTCAGAAGCCGTCTAGACTTTGATGAATTTAATTTTGCTAAAAAGGGGGAGAGGAAAAAAAAAAAGAGAGAGAGAAAAAAATCGGAATGAAATTTCCTTTGAAAGCACTGGAAGTTCCCATTGCACCAAGGCCAGGAGAGCGGTGGCACAGAGCGGCCGTGGGCTGAGTGCATCCAAAGCTGCAGCACTGCACGAGGGTGCAAGCAGGCAGAACGGCAGCGCTGTGAGCACACGGGGCTGCAGGGCTGTGGAGTGCAACGCTGCGTGTGCAAGGCTGAGAGCAGTGCTGGATGGATGCAATGCTGCATGCGCAAGGCTGTGAGCAAGCAATGCTGTTTGTGCCCAAGGCTGCGTGTGTGCAAGGCTGCAAGAGTGCAAGCCTGCGTGTATGCAATGCTGTGTGTGCAAGGTTGCAGGGATGCAATCCTGCACATGTGAGGGGATGCAAGCATGCAGTGCTGCATGCAATGCTGCATGTAATGCTGCGTGCAATGCTGTGTGCAATGCTGCATGTGCCCAAGGCTGCAAAAGTGCAGCACTGGATGCGTGCAAGTCCACAGGTGTGCAAGGCTGTAAGTGTGCAACTGCAGCTGCACACAGGGCGTCCCAACGCTCTTTGGGCCAGGTGTCCATGCTGAGGCTCTTCCTGTCCTCTGCAGGCAATGAGCGACTGCTGCATTATTTACGTGGAGGCTGCGCTGCGCGGGAAATCAGGTCAGCCCCCCCCCCAGCCCCACGTCCCCCCCTTTTCCCCAGCAGCATCCCTTTGACACACACAAAAGCAGCAATCCCATCTCTCCTGGGCTGCCCTGCTTTAAAAATAATGTAAAAAAGGAACAAATCCAGCCCGCTCCCAACGCAGCCCATGGGACGAATGGCTGGGGAGGAGCGCATGGCTGCGACATGTGGAAACCCATCGCCTGGGGTTGGGACGGGGCTGAGTGAGCAGCAGCCTCGGGTTTGGGGGTGGCACAGTGGCAGCCGCCATCCCCACGCAGGGACAGCGCTGAGACCCCCTGGTTGTCCCCCAGGGGCTCAATCTGCTGCACGGCGCAGCCTCAGGGAGTGAGGAAGAGATGAGCGAGGAGCAGCTCCCCCTCCTCCTGCTTTGAGTTTTTATTAAAACAAACGAACCCATCATTTCTTAGGATACAACAATCCGTGGGAATAGAAAAAGGCTGTACCAGGGTCAGGGGAGAACCCATCCAAATGGCAGGCACGCATGGGGCAGGGAGCTGATACAGACAGCGTGCTTAAATAAAAGGGGTCGGGGTGCCGTGGGGTGGAGGCAGCGCGTGGCCGGGCCCCACTGCCAGGCACTGGGCGCCCCGGGCCCCTGCAGGGAGATGCTTTGCATGGGACACAGGGATGGAGGCAGCCCCAGAGCCCAGCGGTGGGCAGGGGCCTGTGGGGGAGACAACGGGGGTCCCCGGGGGGGGTTTGGGTGCCGTCAGCACCTCGGCCTGCTCAGCCTAAATAGGGAAGTGAAACAGGGCAGTGGTGAGCTGGAGCTGGTAAGGGAGCTGCTGCAGCTCCTGGAAAGGCACAGAGCGGGTAGAGGTTGGGCAGACCCACAGCCTCACACTGCCCATGTCTGGCACAGTCTGCGGGGAAAAAAAGACTACAGCTGGTTGGCATGGGTTGTTCTCCTTCCTGCTTGCAGAGGAAGAGGAGGAGGTCTTCCTGCCCCTTCCTCCTCTCCCCAGCACAGCAGCAGCCTCAGCCTTCGTGCTCTCCTCCTCTCCCTGCACGTGCTCCGGGTGCCAGCAGTGCCCCATCCACTCCTTGGTGCGCTGCGATCCAAACCCCGTCCTCCTCCTGGAGGACAAAGCCTGGGGGGCCGAGACAGAGCAGAGCAGGTAGAAAAATAAGGGGGGGGGGGGGGGGGGGGAAAAGGACAGGAGAACATGGGGAAAACTCAAACTGGGGGATGCTAAGAGGAGAAGATCCCAGTCCATAGCCCAGGTGGGAGCAGCAGGCATCGGGGCGGCGTGGGGCCGTGGGATGGGAACCCCACTCCTCAGGGCCGGTCACCTCCTAGAGCTCCTCGAAGAAGGCCACGCGGGACTTGGTGCTCTGTAGGGTGAGCTGCAAGAGAGCAGAGGGGACACGGGGTGACTCCCTCCTCCCGCGAGGCCCCTCTGGAAGCAACGGGAATGGCAGAAGCGGGGATTTCTGGCTGCAGAGGGTGGAGGACGGGTGCAGGAAAGGGTTGCAGGATGGGCAGCTGCTCCTGCTTGTGCCACCATCCCCCAAAACTCCAAGGGTGCTGAGGGGCAGCAGATGAGGTCAGAAACGTCAGCAGAGCTCTTGTGGTGGGGAAGCCACAGCAGCCCTGCCTCTGCCCTGCCCCAAACCTGCAGACCACATGCAGGCTGCCCCGATGGGAGCCACCTTCGATCCCGATGGATGGAGCTGAAGCTGCTCATTCGCCCCCAGGGCTGGCCTCAGGGCCAAGGCTCTGCAAGACCCCAAAATCCACCTCAGCAAAGCTTTCTGCAGCAAGAGAGAGGCAAAACTAAAAATACTACCCCGCGTCAGAGCCACGCTCCTGTTCGTTAATGGGCGAAATGAGAGATGGAAGACACGTCCTCAGCCGGGAGGAAGAGAAGTGCAGTATTTCAAGCTAACCACCCCAATCTGCGTCCTGGGAGCAGTGCCACCTTCCCAACAGCTGCTGAATCACCACCAGGGTTGCCAAAGCAGCGCTAATTGCAAAGGCTTCGTTTGGCCAGGCTGAGCGGTGAGCCGTCCGCCGGGAGCGTGTTGTGCTGTTGCAGGGATCCCGGGCTGAGGCTCCAGCCCTGCACAGCACTGCCAAGTGCTTCCCTCTCCCTGCCCGCCCCACGTCCTCTCCTCACTAATTCCTTCACAGCTCTTCATTCTGAATCCCATTCGGAACAGCTCTATTGCAGAGGGAGTTTCTGCAGGGGCTTCATGCTGGAGCAGGGCTGGGCGGCTCTGCTGCATCGCCCCGTCTCTCCGGAGCTGCAGCCTGCGCTGGGTTTGGGCTCTTCTAGCAGCAAGTGCTCTGGTGAGAGGCAGTTCTCTTCCCCAGAGCCTGGGTCACATCCCAGGGAATACAGTGTCAAACTCAGGTGGCACACAGGGTCACACGGCCGCTCCAACCCACGGCAGGGGCTGCGTCCTCCTCACCCTGCCCAGCTGCACGCTCAGTGCTCCAAAAGGGAACACATCTGAGGCGAAGCAGGGATGCTTTCCCCAGGCTCCTAAGAAAGACCCAACACCCCCCCGACCTCCCTCTCCCCACAGCCTCACGGGGCTCCCCTCCAGCAGCAGCAGCTCCGTTTGCCCAACAAGGGGAATAAATGCACACGCAGCACGTGGCCGAGGCCGAGTGATTAACAGCCAGTTACATTTTCGTCAGCGCAGAGAAGGGGGAAAAAAAAAATTGATTTACAAGCAGTATTATGATAATCTCCTTCCTGCAGGAGGGAGGGGGGTGGGCTCCTCACTGCACTGCCAGAGCCAGCAAAGAAAATTTAGAGAGGGAGAGGGAGCACAATTAAGCAGCCAGAGCTCCAATGAATCAGAATAGGGAGAAGGGAACGGTCCCACTCCCCACAGGCTCGCGCTGGGGCTGCCTGGAGCTCTGCCTTTACCCAGAGCCGCTGGACTTATTTGATCTAAGAAAATAAACAACAACAGTAACAAAACCCCACCAATCAGCCCCTCCTCGGCAAACCCACTTTCCAGCAGCTAACCCAGTAAGCGCAGCGCTGCTGCCGGCACACGGAGAAGCCACGAGGGCTGCAGGAGAACCCCCACACGGCCACTGCGACACAGCTGGGGCCACATCCTGGCCCCTTCCCTCCTGTGCCACCCCTGGGCACGTTCTGCTGCTGCTCAGAAGGAGATGCTCAGTCTCTGCTAAACCCAAGGCGAGTGCTGCAGGCTGTAAATCCTCTTTACTGCCGCCCCCGCTCCCCTCGTGTCCTCTCCATCCCTCCAGCACCCAGGCGGACCTTTCCATTCACACATTTCCTTTTTAAAACCCAAACCTTCCCCATTCTCCCCCCTCCCCCCCATCTCCTGTTCCCTCCTACTCCCACACCACCATTTATTCTCTCCCAAACACGGGGCCCGGAGCACAACTTTCCCCCAGCCTCCATCGCTTTGATGAGAGTGCTTAAAAGAGAGGAGATGACACTCCAGTTGAAGGAAACACTTTTCAAAGGCTGCCACAAAAATAGCTGATAGGCCTGACGCTTTCTGCTTTCCTTTTGCTCCTTGTAAACAAGGAAATTAGGCTGCTCTGTCCCATTTTAGCTGCTGGGGAGTTTCACTTCCCGGCTCCGAGGCGCGGAAGCAAACACCTCGTCTGTTTTGGGGCAGAAATAAAACGAACCCAGCAAGGAGAGGGGCTCACAAAGCAGGATGCAGGATGCCTCTCCTGGATTAGGAAGGGGATTTGTGCCAGGAGCTGCCTTGCTCACCAGTACCACATCCAGGCTCTGCTCCACGCTCCATCCCTGCGGCTCCCAAGGTGACAGCATGGCACTGGTGCTGCTCCTCCTACAGCCACTTGCTGGGTGCATGCCCCTTTTTGCAGCGTGCAAACTTTCTTCTCATGGTGAGAAAAAAGGAGATGGCAACACCCCCATTCTGCAGCCCAGCAGCATCCAGGGCACCACAGTGCCTGCAGCAATGGATGCACGCAGCCCCACGCAGCTCAGACTGCTCTGTCCCACCCAGAGCAGCACTGCTTTTGCTGTAAGATGAGGCTCTTGAGGCACATCACCACCTTCCTCCCCTGGAACGGCCACAGTCCCCCACCTCCCAGCTGCTGCTGGAGCACAGCTGTTTTCTGCAGTGCCCAGCACAGTCCTACGTGCCGCCACCTTTGTATCGGTGACACATGGCTGTGCCCACAGCTGGTAGCCCAGTGTCCTCAGCATGCAGCAGAGGACAGGGCAGGGGGCACCCTGAAGATGAGAGGATAAGGACAAACCCAGGCAACCCTGCAGGTGCCCATGTCTGAAATGAACCTCGCTGTGGCTGTGGGAAAAGTGCTGCTCGTGGCTCAGTGCAACACGGGGCTCACGGTGACACCAGACCCCAGGCAGCCTATCCACACCCCTGCTGTACTTCCCATCCAAGTGTCCCTCAGCAGAAAATCAAGCAGCATTCACCAGATTTCAGGGTGATGCTGCTCTGCAAATAGGATCAGTGAGAGAAGCAGCTGGCAGCAGCACTATCAGCACTGGCCCATCCCAACACAGCTGTCTGCACCGATTTCCAGGGGGCAAGAGCAGCGCTGGGTGAAGGGAGCCAGCTCCAGCCCTGGAGAAACACTGCAGAAAAGCCTAAAGGCAGCCTGGTGGGCAGCGTTCAAAGGAGCAGAGCAGTGCTCAAGGACACAGCGGTTTGGCTGGGAACAGGCACAGAGATTTGCTCCTTGCCCGGATACTTCAAAGGGCTTAAATCACAGTAAATAAGCATGACAGCACAGGAAGAAAAGCAACCGGAATGAAAGACCCAACTGTGCTCCTGTTTTAGAGCAGCAGCCCGTCCTGGGAGGTTTCCTACACTGGAGGATGAGAGGAACTGCCTTTTTTCTTTTTTTTTTTAATATTCTACTGCAGTCTAAGCAGCAAACCCTCCTGAAGCCAAGCCAGCTGGAGCCAGCAGCACCAGCCCACGGCGCTACAGAGAAATCAGTTTCCAGATGAGGTGCTTGTGCTGTGCCCACAGAGCTCGTAAAATAGGATTAGCATGTTAACCACGTAATTAAACACCAAGAACTTCGCAGGCATCTTCAAAGGCAGGCAACAAAACCCGGAGGTCACAACGCAGTGCTCACTGTGTGCCTGATTTCAGCACGGGGCTCCTCCCCAGCACTGCCTCCTGCTCAGCCGCTGGGTGACTTTTTCTCAGACTGCTGCTTTCCCTCCCTGTTCACGGCCACAAGTGGATTTCACCACATTCAAGGTGTCTCAGAGCTGCTCAAACCACTGGGTAAAGAACAGCGGGTATCCACAGGCAACAAACAGCCCCGTGGGGACCGCTGACATCTCCCCAGTGTGGGCTTTTTTCTCTAAGGAGATGCTGGGCAATGAGAGCAGCCTGGCGTGGGAACACAAGCATGGCTCTGGAGCAACAGTGAGTGACACACAGCACTGCCCTGCAGTCCCCAGATGGCACCAACCTGTGCTGATCACTTCTGGTCACGTGCTGGGGAGAAGGCTGCATCTGAAGTGTGTTCCTGCATCTGCTACGGAGCTCCAGAGGTGCTGGGAAACTGCTCCCCAGCCAGGCTGCAGGCAGGGCTCTGCTAGCCCTCAAAGAAACTTTTAACAAAGGCTTTTTCCAACCGAGTTTGCCATCATTGTAGTACCTGCATTGCTTCTTCTTTAGCGCTACAACTCAAAACTTGCTGTGGCTGCACGCAAGATCAGTCATGGAAAGAGCAGAGCAGCTTCCCCAGACACATCTTCCCTCCGGGCACACGAGCTCCTGGCTCAGCCTGCTGCCCAAGGCACTGCCAGCTCTGTGAAGGAGACACACAGCACTGACAGAGCAGAAAGGAGCAGTGTAACAGAGGCAGGGGACGAGGCGCACAGCAGCGTGGCAGGGTCACCCTTGGGATTCAGCTGGCTCACAACAGCAGCTCCACCAGGCTGATGTGTCACACCGTGCCTGTCTCCCTGCCCCTGTGCCACACAGGGATAACTGCTGGCCTCTAGCAGGAGGCAGCACGGGAGAGCTGGAGGAGACAGTTGCTCAGCGAATGCTCAAATCTCAACACTGTCTCCCCAGAGGCAATGCTAGAAATGCTATTTGAGTCATTTAAAAAGAGCTGCTGTCCACGAGCACGGCCTGCAGGGAATAACCCTGTTCCCTAGGAAAAGCACAGGAAACCTCTCCTATTCCTAATGGCTGTTATTTCTCAGGGCTGGGGAAAGCTGGCAGCAGAGGAGAGCCCAGGGCTAAGAAGAGCTGCCCCAAGGTGCCACACTAGCCAATGCCACGTGCTGTCCCCTTGCTGCACACTTCCCAAGCCCTACCTGCAGACACTGGCTGTCCCCTGCTGCCAGCTTTTCACTGCCCCAACGCTCTCCAGACATACAGACACAGGCTACACATCCACGTGCTGCCCCACTCCAAGACAGAATTGCAAGCGTTCAGTCTGAAATAACTGCTTTAGCAGCAACAGTGAGAAGGAAGTGATGGAGTTTGTTCTGGGCTTTGTTTGTTTTGGTTTTTTAAGCTCATGAATTTCTTTCTGCAGCAAACAAGGGGGCAGATCCCGTTTTACTTCGTTAAAGAAATCTTCAAAGGCCACCCTGTACCTCCGATAGATTCCCAGCCACAAGCAGCAGAGCAAAACCAGGCTTGTTTAATTATTTAAGAACCTATGCCTGCACTCCCCCGCTGATGTTGCCAACTCAACTTCTGCCAAGAAAGACGCTTCCCAGCGTGGGGAATCAGGTGTGAAAATGAATGTGGAGAAGCTGCAAATGCTACCGACGGAGTAAGAGCCAGGCAGGGCTTCCCACACAGGGAAGGGCAGGTGCTGGGGACACTGGTTTCACACTGCATGGAATGCTGTGAGGATGGCAGCAGCGGGAGCTGGCGAGAGTAGTGGACATCACAGGCAAGCTCATGCACAGGTTAGTGTTGCAGCCGGTGACCCCATCACCACACGCAGAGTACCTTGGAATAACCTACTTTGATGTGTCAAATGCAGATAGGTCTTCTGCCCTGGGCTTGAGGCTAAACCAGCAAAATAAAATGAACACACACACACACACAAAAAAATCCTTTGTGATAGGAGCAATGTCAGGTCATTCGTGCAATCCGTACAGCTTGCCCCGAATGCTGAAGTGCCCAGCAGCTCCCCAGGTGGGGCAGAGGGCTGGTATTACTGATGCATTTCTCAACTACTATCCTCTTGTCCACCTCCCGTGTCCTGAATTTTCCTTTCCATCACAACTGTGAAGACAAAAGCCCTCCTGACCTCCCGAAGGCGCGAACAAAAGCAGCCTGTAATTTCATCCTGATGTGTTTCACTAATAGACTGTTATTTAAAAACCTCTGCTCCTCTGGCTGAGATACACGAGCCAGGCAGCCCAGGAACCCTCCAAGAGGCAGGGGAGAAGGCTGAGCTTCAGGAGGCAGCTGACCGCAGCCCCAATTACAGGAATCTGTCAGGGCATCATCTCTAAGTGCCTGCCTCGGCGCCCTCCTTAAGTGAGACAAATGGGACCAGCAGCTTTCTATGAACATATCTCAAAAAGCTACGTAGGAAAAAAAAAAATTAGCATCTTCTGTTTATGCTGAGGGCTCTGAGTATGGAGACATACTGTAACAAAGCTTAATGGGAGCAGAAAGCTTTTCAGGTTCTACAGCGATAAAAAGGGCCTGTGAATATTCTTATATTCTTCCTTCTGGAAAGACAGGAACCCAAATAGTGTAGAGCTAACACTGGGAAACTTGCCAACAAGATCCACTAGATTCATTTTCCTGCCCTGATTTAGTGACCATAAGCTCCCAGCCATGAAAATCAGCATGAACTGACACTTTCAAACCCTTTTAGGGTTTTTTTTAGAAGATTCGTTTTTAAAACCCTTAATTGTTGCCACAGCCTGCATGCTTGTGAAGTGTGCCATACAGGCACAACCTTCCAAAAGCACACCTGCTAGCAAAGAGCCTGGGGAAAGCCTTTGCAGGTGTTTGGAGCTGACCACGCCATCCCTCTGCACTGGGTACGGATGCACCCCCTGCCTCTCATTAAAATGAACCCAGCTGGGAGAACAGCAGAGCTACTAAGCTAAAGACAAAGGGCCAGGTGTAAAAATAAAGAATGCCTTTTGTTGTGACCTTCCACGTGTGACTCCTGCACCAGCAGACCCAGGCTTTCTGGCTCAGTATTAATCTCCAGAGCATTTCTACAGGCAAGTGGTTCCAGGGTCCAGCGCACAGGGAGCAGACACCCACACAAACCTTACCAGCAGAAGATTTTGCTGTTAGTATCTGAAGCTGCACTACAGGTTACTTGAGAACAGACTAAAAGCGAGGGCGAGGCTTTTGGCTTTTTCTGCTGGGAGCTCACAAATCAGGAGTATTTCTCCCCTTATTATTCCCCAGCCGAGCTCAAACCATTTCTTCATATTGCCCTTGGGGAACAGCTGCACAACAAGTAGGGCTTTTCCTTTTCCTGAGGTCAGGAGGGGAGCAGGACCCTCTAAACAGCAGCCCTCTGTAGCTTTGCTAAGCTTCAGCAAGACAGGCAAAGCTCGAGATCTTTGCCTCCCCTCACAGAGCACCAAAGAGTCAAGGCTTGGTTGCAGTAAACACCAAACCATGGCCACCAGAAGCCGAAGCTCCCTGCGCCCTAGTTCAAAGCTAAGCAGCCAGGGAAGAAAGCCTAGATCGAACAATTTTATTATAACAACTTGTGCAAAATATAGGAAGGGCTATTCTGTTGTCGTTTTAAAAGGATTTCGTCAGGCAAGGTACAAACTGGAGCCCTCTGATACCTTTTTAATAGTGTTGTGCTTGCTGTTGCCTCGGCTGGCATTCTCGTTGTGCAATATATCCAGAGCTGTCTCTCTCTCCTTCAGCTTCAGCGCCTCGATTTCAGTCTTCAGCTCATTCAGCTGCTCCTGCAGGTGCTTGCTTTTCTCCATGTACTCTACCCTGGCACACACAGACAGTGCTGGGTTAGTAGTGGCCTGGTGCACATGGTTATTTTGTGGCAGCCAACAACAGAGTTGTAACAAAAAAAAAACAAAAACATATTTATCTTCATCATTTAAGGCGTACAGAACTGACATCATCCATTCACTACTTCCAGCTATTTGTTGTCAAAAAGAGAACCCAGACACCTGACTAGGAGCTGTAAGTCATGTTGCTGTAGGGGAAAAAAAAAGCCAAGCCAAGCGAGGGCAGCTGGATGATTGTTGTAAGTCTCCCCATTTTGAGTGACAGATAAACACGATGCAATTTCAGGCCAGGAAAACGTTTCAAACAGCACTGCTCTACTCCTCTGCAACCTCTCCCCAGCTCACAGACTTACAGAGGCACGAATTCTTGTGGGCCATTTTCAAGGAAGAACTCTGATATACCAAACTCTCATGTTTCAGAGGGATTTAATTTAAGAGGTATGACAGCAAGCACTGCACCCAAAATAATAGGTTGCATCCCTGAGAAGGAGAAAGGTCTCCCAAAGATAGAAAGGAAAAAATACCAACAACAGAAAACTAGGCACTCTCAGGACTCAGCCTTAAATGCCTTCTACAAAGGAGCATCTGCTGGAGACAAGTCACACCATGGCAGCTTGTACTTGTGATTAAATACTGCGACTGGGGTCAAAGTGCCAGCAGACTAACAAGAACCCTTTCAGAGTGCCAAAATTTGTAGCAAGGTTTAGCTCAGCACCCGAGGAATGAGAGCTCGTCCAGAGAAGCCAGCGACAGCCCGTTGTTGCTTTTATCATTTAGCAGAGCCAAGATCCTCCTGCTCAGAAGAGTGGGCTGACCTAGTTAGGGTACAGAACCAGGAATTACTGTGGTATTTTCAGGTTTCATCCCTTTTTTCCTTCTGGCTTGAGGAAAAATTCTTAACCTCTGCCTCTGGAGCAGTGGTCTGTTATTTAACAAGCAGGAGAGGTACGGAGCAGAGGCAGAATGAAGCACCCAGCGGGATGCGGGGTGCCTCACTGCAGCCCCAGGAAGTTACAACTGCAGCATTATGGCAGAGCCCTTCCAGCTTTGATCTGCTATCCAGTCAATGAACAAAGCACATTATTACTACTGAGATTAAAATCTGATCTGCTTTGATTTCTGCTAAATTTGTGATTTCGAAGGCTGCATTTAAACCCTCAGGAAAACACGAGATCAAAGCTCATAATCACATCCAAACTTGCTTGCGCATACTTTTTATATATAAACATGCCACAGATTCAAAGGAAAAGGGGTTAAAGCCCTAACACAGGATGCAGCCCTCATTCCAGCCATCCTGACATGCTCTGCACATACAGCAAACACACAAGCACCTGCCTGCAATAGTCCAGCATGCCAGCAGTCACACTGCTGTTAACTCTTTCTACCAACAGAACGGAAGCCTACCCAAGAGCTAGGTTCACCACACAGATGGGAACTGTGCTGGCATGGCTCAGCGTGCTTAAATTTGCCTTTAACCAGGTAGCGGAGATGCAACTGTGACACCAGGTCCCCATCCAGAGGAATGGCCACCCAGCAGCTCCATCGTGCTCTGAGCTGTTAGTAATGACCTGGTACACGAAGCCCCACAAGCCTTCTCCCCCCTTCACCTCACACCAGGGCTCATCTGAATGTAAAAGTCCTGCTCTCCTTCTTGCAAACAGGGCACAGCCACAGCCAAACCCATGCTGGCAGCACGCCACCTACTTCTCTTTCTCGATCTCCATGGACAGCCTCTTCATGTCTGTATCCTTGAAGTCAAAGGACAGGCTCTCACTGATGAGGTTGAAGCTCGGCAGGTCGGTTGGCAGTGCTGTCGTGCTGGAGTTCATGGACTGCTGAAGAGAGAGGGTAAATTAATCACTTTGGCCACACAGATGCTCCTGCAGCAGCTGTTCTGTAACAGGCAGTGTAGAGGCAAAACCTGAGCAAAGCCCAAGTACACAGCACAAAGTACTACTTCAGTAAGTGTAGCAAATTAAGTGCTTTAATAAAGTCTTGATTGCCCACGCAGGTTTTGTCACTGCATCACTGCCTCTTGGGAGACTCCAGCAGCTTTTTAACCTTAAATTTAGTTTTAAAAGCACAGGCTACGAGCAGGGGCAACGTGAGATCCTGTGTGACCAGAGCCCTGTGCTCCAGCACTCCTCAAAGCACGGTCAAAAAGCATGGTAATTCCAAAGGTTAACTGAGGCTGCCATTTCAGAAAGGTCCATGAAGATGCACTCGTAACTTTGATTTTAATCTTTGCAGTAACTAATAGTTCCAAGCATTTAGGAATCACGTCCATCCCTCAGCTAAAATATCTGTCACACCTGTAATAAATGAGCTTGTTATCAGTACAGGATGAGCATCCTGACTCAAATCATCACTCCTCTCTTGCAGTCTGTTAGATGAGGTCGCAAGCAGCAACACACATCAAGGGTGGTAGAGCAGCTTCAGACAGCAGACTGCACGCATGGATCTGAGTCACAGCTGCTGCCAGCATGCTGGCCCTTGGTTTAGACTGAAGGAAAACAGCCCAGCACCCAAAAGTCACCCAGCTCCCTGCCAGTGGTCCGTCCCCCTTTAAGGAATTCCTGTAATAAACCTGCCTGAATCAGGTTGCTGTTGTGGGATGGCAGGAGATGGCTCTGCAGAGACAGGCAGGTCTGGCAGCAGTAGGGCAGAGGGTACCTGCACCCAGGAGCTCAAGCTGTAGCTGGCAATTTCTTTCCCTTGTTTTGTCTATTTAGGACTGTTTGCAGCCAGCTCCACTTCAGCAAGAACCAGCAGTGTTATGGCTGGTGACAGATTTACTCCATGCAATAACCTCCCTCTCCACTCTCCACCAGCCTGGAATTCACAAAGAGCTGGGGCTCATCTCCACTCCTGGACAAACCTGAGAGGGACAACTTCACTTGCCTGCTGCAGAAATGCAAACATCTTGTACAAGAAGGTGACCACAATTGCACTGCCTGGCCTGGAATGTTGCAGATCAGTCACACTTAAAGCTGCAAGGAAAGCATCGTTTCTTACTCTCAGTTTCAGGTTCTGCTAACACAGAACACGACCACATTAATTCTGCAGCACGTGCCATAAGGGATAGCTGAGTACCTGAATTCCTCTCTCCAAGGAGAGGGGACAGACCAGTGAAGGCATCTGCTGATTTAAATACCTGCCTCACATTGAATTCAAGACCCTTCGCTATGAGGCATGCAGGTTTACAAAGCTGCTCCCATGTGAGGTTTTACAGATGTGCAGGGGAACCAGGGCCATCCAAACTATCCTGCTGGCCTTAAAACAACCTTTGCCATTTACTGCACATGCTCCTTCTGTTTAAACAATAAAAAAATGCTACAGCCCCAAACAACAGCAGTAAGAGCTGAGCGCGAAGTGCGTTCAGTTGCTGCAGTCATCAAGTCCTGATGCCCATTTCTCAGGGTTACTACTGCTACTTCCTCCCTTCACAGCTCTTTCATGAAGCAACAAAAAACTGATGGAGAAGTACGAGCAGCAGCAGTGAGGAAGCGTAAGGAAGGAACAAAGAAAGAACATGCTGAGTGCTTTCAAAGGCACGGGCTCAGCATCTGGAGCAGAGCCCTTCCCTGCCATTTGTGATCACATTGGGCAAGTCTTGCACGAGCCACAGGAATTTTTAATCCAGAGGACATGAGATGTCACTGGGGCATCGGATGACAAAGGGGACACAGAGCTTTTGCCTCATGCATTTCCTCACCTGGAACAAAACGCATAACCCTGTTATTACATTAAAGCAATTTCCTGCAGTTAATAGAGGCGAGCACCACGCTGACAGCAGTCATCCCTCTGGGGAACAGAGCAAATGAGATGGACGATATGAGGGAAGCACAGAGCAAGCCATGTCATAAGGCTTTCCCCACAGGGAGAGCTGCTCCTGCTGCTGCCACTGCCTTCGCTTTGCTGCTTGAAGACTTGGGCAGGCCCAGGACAGGCACTTCATACTACAAAGAATCACAGAAGAGACGACTGCCTTTAGCCTTGCTGTGAGTGGTACCTGAATGGCAATGAAGGAGGCAGGAGGCGCTGCCAAGTCAGTAAAGAATGAATTGTTCTCCCAGCCCTGCTGGCCTGAGACTCAGGTTTGCTTTTTCTTTCTCATGCATCATCCACCACCACCATCACAAAAGCAGTTTTGGCTTCAAGGTCTAAAAAGACACCTGAACAAGCTTTAAAAAGCCAGTACAAGGGACTGGAAAATTACCAAAGAAAAGTTTTAACTGCTTCTTGTCATTTCTGTAACACATCCATCCTCTCCTCCCTTCCTCTTTTGCCTCTTTCCCAGGAGGGAAGTTCTGGCCTGCTCTTCATGCCAGGGGACTACAGCACAAACTCTGGGAGAAAGGAAAATAACAAGCTCAGTGTTACACCCTCATTAAGGGAGAGAAGAGCTGGAATCTGGTACCGTTTGGCAGAGCTGCCATTCACCTGAGGGACACCAGCCTCCCAGCAGCAGCTTTCAAAACCCTTCATCCCTCAGGCCACTCTGGGCTTATTCCCTCCCTCCTACTGCGCCTGCCCAGCACGGTCCTTTCAGCCAAACCCTGTGCAGGAGCAGCACTTCAGCACATCTTGCTCTTCTGTCCCAAAGCACTCACGTGGCAGAGAGAGGAGAGATGCTACAAAGGAAGAGGGACGTGAGACAGGTGTAACAAATAGAGATGGGATGCTTCACACACAAGGGCTCAGCAAGGTACTGCCACGTGGATGTGGGTCTAACAGTCACAAGGCAGCCAGCTGGCCTGAGAAAAGCAATAGACTTGTGTTGTGTCTGTGTGCTGCAGTGCTGCTCCTAGGGCTGGGAGGGGGCAATAGCTGCGAGAGGGGACTGTCATCTAAATAGGGAGAGAAAAAGGCAAACCACTGCTCTTTGAGGAAAGGAGAGGATACAGCACTGTGTGTCAGGAGGTGGCAGCTCTGCACAGATTGCCTCCAGGACAGATGCAGCTGGAGGGGTGGAGCTGAGCTCCATGCAGTCCTGCACTACCTCCTGTAATTAGGCTTTAACTCCACAGGCAGGAATGCAGCCTCGCTGCTGATGGCTGGTGTGGGCAGCACAGGGATTTATGCACAAAGCTCACTAGCTGTGATTCTGCTTATTTGACTTAGGATGAGCACAGCCTTGTGAGGGAACCTGGATGCGAGTGCTCTGCCCAGACAACGCTGGGCTGATGTGGCCATTCAGCAGGTTTTCAACAAGTATGCTTCACCTTGTGAGTACATTAAACTCAGAATTCAAGAACTGGTGGATCCCAGAAACCTGCAGCAACATGAGGCACTCTCCAAAGATAAGGTTTATGAAGCATCAAGCCTTACAGCACTCCACTGAAGGCCCTGAGGCTAAAAACATCTCACTATTTTCCGTCGCTGCTGTTTCTTAAACGCTTCTGAATGTTTTTGCAGGGATCTTCAGAGAATCTGGATGAAAAGCTTCTTCGTCACCAGCCCTCTTCAATCTGCCTCTCAAAAGGTTTGAGGGGAGAGAGGGAAGGAGCTCACACATACAAATTAAAACTTCAGTACTAGACAGGTCAGTAACTCCCACGTATGTCTGTCGAGTTTATTCCTGAAGATGTCAAGTTCTTCCCCCTCCACCTCTCTGGACAAAGGGCAGCAGAAGAGGCAGTCGTGGCAGGTGCAAGCTGCAGGGAAGGAGCACCTGATGGCTTCTGCAGGTCCTGCAGCACAATTAGGGAAGCTGAGGAAAGAAACTGCCAGACAAAACGAGCACTGGTCTTCTAGTCTGGTGTTTCAGTCCCTGGCAGCAATCAAGACCAGATGCTTCAGAGGAAGGTGTGAAATCCTCTTAATGGGCAATTACAGAATACTCCCCCTTCAATGAAGTTGGTTTTTCAGCACACAGATGCACAGCAACCAGCTTATGTCTAAGAACCATTTCACAGATTTGGAACAATGTTTATCCTTCCTAACAAGTATCAGACTATCCTCAGTTGTGTATTTAACCCTGTTTTAAAAGCTCTTACTGAGCCAGTCCTCTCCACATGCAAAGCACGACTCTAACACATTTTTAGATTAGTTCACAGTTTGCTGCCTTTCATTCCATCAGCAGCTCCCTGGCCTTTGTAGAATAAAGCAGGGTAGATAGGGGAAAAAAAAAAGAAGAGCAAAGTGTTCTGGTGGACAAGTTACTTGGATGAAAAGGGCAAGTGCTCCTAAGTATTACAGAACAGCTGCCAAGCAATACAATGAGATGGTTCATACCCCTCTGTGATGGGATGGAGACACAAGACTGCTCCAGGCTACAGAGGATGCCACAGTTACTGTCTGGAAACCAGCAGTGACAATACAGATCATTCTTACCGTGTAGGATGACTTGCTAGTGATTTCCAAAAGCTTCTGCTTTGCTCTCCGCTCAGACTCTCGAGCCTCCTGAAGGTCTTGCTTTAGCTGATCAGCCTCCTTTGCCCTACCAAGGAAGAACAGCAAATGGCAATGTTAGATCCAAGCCTGGAGACTGATAAACACGATTATAGCATAGGTGTAAAACAGAGCTGTCCCTTAACAAGGCCTGAACTAAGAAATCATTTGGATAAGGGAAACACTGGCACCTCTGACATGTGGGACACTAATTAGCACAAAAAGCCATGCCATAGAAGGACAGCTCTGGCACGAGCTCTGCGTTGAGCAGCAGTAAGCAAAGCTAAGGGCTGGAGCAGCACATTGGAATGTCAGAAGGGGAAAAAACACCTTCAACAGGTAAGCTCAGGCTTACAGCAGGAAAGGCAGTTTTCTGACAGGCAAGCCTCTACTAACAATTATTTACTACATTCAAAAAGGACCACGCATCCAAAATCACGCCACTTCCCCCTCCTGCAGGGCCCAACTTTTCTAAAACAAGTAGCCAGACTTGAGCATTATGAGCTCCCAAGGAACCCCCAGCAGGTGGAAGCCAGGTAAGGAAGCTTTCTCTGCTGAATAGAAATTGGAGCGAAGATTTCACAAGTTAAAGATTAAGGCAAAAAGAGACAAGGACAGCATTTGTCCACTCAGAAGGGCTGAAACCAAGAAAGCTTACATGGAAAGGAATAATCAGTTGGAAGGAATCAAGAATGACTTTTTTTTCTTGCTCACTATCAAATGCATTGTGAGAGCTTGAGTATCAATAGGACAGCAATATCAATTCTACCAAGAGACAAAGACTTGAGGAGCTAAAGAGACCTCAGAGCTAATCTGAAACACAAACTTCACAACTGATAAGGAGAACTAAACAGGAGAGAAGGAAAATAAAGGAACAAATAGAATATAGTAAGTGTGGAACTGACATTAAAAAGAAGACAAAAACAAAACCAGCTGCTATTCATGTTGTCAAATGCTCCTGAGAATACAGTGGGTGTGTGCAGAAATCACCCAAAAGTTGAGCTGCCTTCAGCTGTCAGGGTGTGAAAGGCACAGCACCAGGGCACTCCAGGTGATGTCCCTGCTCCTTTCACCACAGCGTCACCCTTCCAAAGAAGGCTTCAGAGAAGGGATGTCAGCTTTAATCCAGAGAAAGATCAGGGCCACAGCTGTTCTACCTGTACCATTTCCTATGCAGGGATAGCCTAGCTGTGGCAAACAGCAAAACAGAGAGAAACCAGCTGAGCCTGGGGGTCAGTTGCTGTTGTGCATGCAGGGGAGGCCAAGGACTCACTGCAAACTCTGGACTACCTCGAGGTGAGCCACAGTAGTGCTAAGTCAGAATGGGGCTGGAAAGCAAAGCAGAGACAGCTGCAAGGTTGTACCCTCTGACCTCCTCTCTGACTCCTCCGCCATTTTCAGTGCCAACATCTCTGCTTCTAGCACCTTCTGTTCCATCAGTCGCTTCTCCTCCTCCGTCCGGATGGCCGTGGCTTTGATTCGCTGCATCTCTTGCTCAGCCTCTGCTGCTTTCTGAGCCAGGAGCTTGGCCTCCTCCTCCGTGATCTGAGCCTTCTCGGCCAGCAGATCAGCTGTCTCTTCAGATCTCATCTGAGAATAAACACGTGTTAAGCCAGCAAGCACACAATGTCTCCTCAAACGTGCTCTCAAGGATGGAGCAGGGCCCCAAACTGAATGTTCCACATGACACCATGGCTCATTGAGTCCCCTCCCTCTCTTCCATGAAAGCCTGCAGCCTCCTGCAGCCAAAACCTGGATGCAGCCAGGCTCTGTCCCAAATAATTCTCGTTTGTGCTCCTGTCTCAGCAGACCGTTTGGATGCAATAAGCTCCATCCAGCCTCCTGATCACCATCCACCAGCAACAGTTTGAGAACAGCCACAGAACTGTCACAACTCAAATGCTTTAGCAGTGGAAAGAGTCAGGAACAGCTGCAGTGCCTCAAGAAACAGCTGCCCAGAGACTTACCAGGGCCTCGTTGGCCATCGTTGCTTCTTCTTTTAATTGCATCAGCCTTCTCTCCAGCTCATCCCTTGTCCTTTCGGCTTCTTCTCTCATTTGCTTCTCTCGGGCCAGGCGCTGTCGTTCCATCTGGGAAAAAGAAACAGGGGAAAGCAAGGAGAAATAACACGAATTAGAAATACTTTTCTCAGGGCTAGAGAGAGTTTTACTTGAGGGCTTGAACACAAGACTGCACTGCCTCCTTCTCTGCTTGTCAACGAGGGGGCACTTCACTAAATAGGGATGATGTGAACGTACTCTGTTCACACCATACTGAGCATCCCACTCCTTCTCTCCCTGTTCCTGCACCATTCCTGAGGCAATCCCCTCTTCTCTGGGCAGGCTGCTGCCCTGCAGACTGCTGCAAACAGTTACATCTGCAGGCAGCATCGTGCTGCACAGACTCACAGGGCAGGCTCCAGCAAGCAAGGTCCCCAGAGCTCTTCCTAAAGTTACCTATGGCAAGCTGAACAGCCAGCCAGACTGGGGTTAAGGACAGTCTGAGGGCAGCACCAGAACATCAAATACTGACACACAGTCAGGATGGAATTTGAGGGATGTGGCTGTTACTCTCCATCAGACACAAACACAAATCTAACCCAGCACACTAGACACTTCACTTACAGATGGGGAGGCCACACCATATCAATCAGTTCCTAGGCACAACAAACCATCTCCCTCCAGCTATAAGAGATCTGCAAGAAAGAACAATGCTTTCCCAGGTGGGGAAAAACCAAGCTATGTGGGACAACCCCCCAGAATCCTCTCACCTCTTCCCACCTCTTGTACACCATACTCTGCCTCTCTGCTAACCAAGCACAGAAAGGTCGCCATTGGGCTAATTAACAACCAAGCTAAACCACTCCAGCACCAGGGAGATGGGTACATTATAAATATCCATGCTACACCCCGGGCTCGGAGCACTGCACAGGCCACCTGCCAGGTTTAATAACGGAAATAAGTGTGACAAGACACATTTCTCAGCTCCTTGGACACCAACTGTGTTCTGAAAGTGGGATACCCACAGCTCTAATGGCTCGGCTTCCTTCTATTAAAGGTTCTCTTCATCAATTATCATTATGGTCTGCATCCCACTCAGGCCTTCCATTAACAAGAAGTCCTGATGTAAAGAGATTGTTTGGAATCAGTTAACAACTGTGGATCCTGAAGGGAGGACAGTGTACAAGACAGCACAGTGGCTTCCTGGGAGAGCAGCCACCCAAGCAGAAGCCTGAACCCTTCTGTAAAGCACAAGGGCTCTGAATCTGGGAGCTCCTGGGAAGCACAAGCTCCTGCCTGCTCTCAGCATCCCTGCATCACTCCATCACCTCTTCTAGCAGCCCAACACAAGACCTCACCCCCAGCTCGTGTTACTCAAACACTTCAAAAAACTCACAAAATTGCAAGACCTGCCCCTGAGGACACCAGCACTCGGACACCATGCTGCTCCTTCTTGAAGGACCTTTGGCTCCACTAATGGCAACTCCTTCCCAACCGCAGGAATCTTTTGTTGGAAAGCAAAAAGCCCCTTTCCCCCAGGAGCTGGCCCACTTGCCCTTGCAGTGTGACTCATGCCCTGTCTTCTCCCTCCAATTCAGAAGCTGCAGGAAGGAGAGCTGTGTCAGGTGGTGCCCGCAAGACAACTCACACCAAGCCAGGCCAATCCTGGCTCCAGCACTGAGTCCAACACTCTGCAAACACGTTCAAAACCAAACGAAGTGCATCAAATTTGAAGTCCCTTGACAGTAAGACTCTCCTGGTGCAACTAAGTGCTTCGGTTTCTTCTGCTGCTATCTAGTGGCTTTGGTACGAAAGGGCCATATTTATATTCTAAGCAGCAGTATTCAGATTAGCTGTGTGGGTTTCAGTGAGTAGAAAAGGTCTACGAGCAGAAAACAATGATTCATACAATCCAATTTGCTGATATATACTCATTGGCTACACACTGCTGCCTCCAAAGAGCTGTTTTTTGCCGCCTGGGCTGACCTGCAGCAGATAAAGGAGGCCAGCATTGAATTAGCATGCAGGCTGCACCCCCCGAAACGTCGGCGTGCATTCCATCACCATGTAATTAGAAAATGAGACCAAGAACCCCGACAAAGCACAGCTCCCCCTCACAGCCCCTGCTTTAATTACAACCAGCCACCCCAACACGCTACATCTTTTTAGCTGCAGAGCTCAGGACAAAAGTGAGGCAGGGAAAGGTGCGCCCACACTTCTGGGACAACCAGATTTGCTCATCCCTCCCCTCCTCCCAGTTCTGCTCCTGAGTGTGGGGGCTGGACTTGGGCTGTCACCAAGCTACCGAGCCATGTGGAGAATGGCACTGCAGGAGCAGGCTGCTATAAAGAGATGTTCAGCCGGACCTTCCCTCAAAGCTGCTCCATGTGCTTGATGTCAATCTGGAGACTGTTCCTCCCCAAGCTCATTTGCATTCCCAATTCTGGCTCACGGCCTGTTTACTGGAGATGTCTCTCACCTGCTTCCTGGCTTTCTCCTCCCTGGCCTGTGCTTTCATCTGCTGCACCTCCAATGAGTCGGCCTTTCTCCTCCTCATGAAAAGATCGTGGTTTCCAATGCACAGCTGAAGAATCTATTCCAGTCAAAGGTGAAGAGAGGAGAGAAAAAGCTGTACGCGTGATGATGATGGCGTGGTTTCTACTCCTGACACAAAGAACTAGGTTTGGAGCTTGTAAGCACTTCCCTCCACCAAACCCAAGCTCTATGAGCTCTCATACCCCAACGTGAAGGGCAGGGAGCCATCAGCTCTTTGCAGAAACCAATTTTCTGTGCAGCCAACACAGCACGGACCTGGCAAGTATTATACCAACCCTGAGGAGGCGTTAGGCCAAATAGTAAAACAGCCTTCTACAGCTTCAGCCAGCTCTCCTGATCTCACTACCCCCCTTTCTTCAGGTTCAAGATTAACTTCCACCTTCTCCCAACATGAAGCTTAAAAGCACTGAGATGGAAAAAAAAGAAGGAACAACATTTTCCACCTTGGGCAAGGCTACACAGAGAGGCTTATCAACAGTGACCTTGTACACTTTTAGATAGCTTTGAGCATCTATGTTATTTCTTCTGATACTTAAGGAGAAGGACAAGGGAAGTGGTCATCCTAGGGAGAGATAGCAAAGCAAAGGGGGTGGTACACAGAGGATGGAAAGCTCGGTTATTTTTCAGCAATGAAAGAGTTTCTAAGCTCTGATTCTTTTAGAAAAGGACAGTTTCACATGTCTGTATTTCATTTCACACATTATGAGTGAATCCTCTGCAGTCAGCACTATGAACCTGATGAGAAAAGTGAATGAGGCCTTTGTGAGAAAGCCCCATTTCCCTGCGCACACAAGTACAGCAGGCATGTAGGACAGCCCACAGCCAGGACAACAAAGTCCCCCTCCCTTTCTGCCTTCTGAAGATCCATTGTGCAACTTAACAACAGTGCACAGGTACTTCAGCACCTGGATCAAAGCCCCAAAGCCAACTGGACACCTAATCCAGAGCACTAGCTAAAGCTGATCCCCAACACAGACAGCTAAACACAGTTCTTGCTGTTCCTGTGCAAGCAGAGCATCCTGAGCAGGGTTCAGCCTTGAAAAAGCCAGGGCTGCAACACTGACAACGGTGCTTCCCAAAAGTGGGAGGCCTAAAGCTGCGAGTTGGAACAGAGAAGAGCAAGAGAAGAAAAGGAATTTGGAGCAAAAACAAGGGTTAGGAGAAAGTTTTACTTACAATGTGCTTCTGCCATGCAGGTCAGATGCAACCTGAGAGCTCAGAAAGGAAGCACAAAAACAGAGGAGAGGGGGAGAGGTTCTGTGAACGAGCACAGTTTCATCTTCCCTTTTCTCTTCTAGAGGCTATGACAGAATAACAGCTGTGGTACCAAGTCACATCTACAGCCCATCCAGTCCAGCAGCCTATGACTGCTTGAAGGAAAAGCCCCACAAGAGCATTGTCTCATACTGCCTGCAGAAACTTCTGCTAGAGTAATTTTCACTGCCTGCGCCTGCAGACTTACCAGCTTGTTCACACGCAGCTTTGATGAATTGAATTTGAACACATCGATCTTTTTGTCCAATGGCTTAATTGTAAACTGAAAAGGAAAAAATAGAGAGGGACAAAATTATCAGAGAGCTCTGCACTTAATAATGACACAGCTATAAAAGTCTTACCAAAAGCTTTAGCTCAAAGGAGGTCAGCAGTGTCAGACAAACAAGGCTGAGAGCTGTCCCTGTGGCTTTTAGCCAAGCAAGGGGACTGGAGTCAAAAGCAACCAAGGAGACAACTGCTCCTGGCCAGAAAAAGAGGAGTGCCACATAGAAACAACAAGCATAATGCCCATCTCCTGGCCACAGAGACTGATCCACTGCCTCCCAAACTGAGACAGGAAACTTCTCTCCTGAAAGCTGTACAGAACTGAGGAGGGCCAGTAGAAAATCCTGACGCCTCTGAATAGAGGAAGAACCGGCTCAGCCGTGTGATGGAGGGCTGAAATAGAAATATGGAAACACAAGCAGCTATTCCTCCTGTTAACATTTCCCCTTGCAAGAGAATTCATAAGAATTTTTCAGTGCATTTTCTTCTCCAGAACTCAGTGATGTCTCAAGCCTGCTCTGCAGCCCAAAAGGTTATTCCCTTGCACCAACACGCTTTGATGCTTCGTGCCACTGATCAGCTCTAAGCTCATCCCAAGTGCACCCTCCCCAAAGCGCCTTCCCACAAGGATTCTCTCAAGGGATACAGGTGGCATCACCAGTGTTGAGGGTTTCAGTAACGCAGCCCCTGGACAAAGAGAAGATTCTGAACTAACAAAAGGATGCTTGAAGAGACAGAATGCTCTGCAATACTGCATTTTTTAGAAGGTGTGTATGTATTCCATCACTCCTCCACATACTACAGAAATAACTGGCTGAAGAGATAGCAGGCAGCCTGCGTCCATTAAACCAGCTCTATTTATCAACACATTGTACTGCCTGAAAGGGGCTCAGCAGAACTCGCCCTGGCAGTGTTTTGTTTTGTCAGTTTAAGAGCCCATCTTTTCAGACTTTCACACAGGCAGACGTGCGTGAACGTCCTGGGCTTCAGCTCCACCACAATCCACGCCAGTCATTGGAGGCACCAGCAGAAATATGCCAGAGGAGGAATTTCAGTTCCACATAAACAGTCAATCTTTGTTACAATAGATTAAATACCTCTGCTGTGTCAGTGTAGCTGTCAAACCCAGCTATTAAGCCTGTTTACTATCATGTCAGTTCTACTTGTGGTCATCTTATTAGCCAGATTATTGCCCTGATAGAAAGTGGCAGGCTTTTTCCCCCCCAAGAGAAAGATCTGTTACAGTCCTGTGTCAAGGCCCAGTAACAGGGCCTTCAATCCCCATATCTCTGAGGCAGTGCATGATCTGACAGCTTCCACTGATCTGTCACGGGGAGAAAAGTCTTTGAAAGTCATTAAGTGCTGAGCTGCTTGGCAGAGTTATGGAGCTCTCTATTTTTGAGCAGAAAAAAAAACAAGTGACGAGAATCCCAACATGGCCTTTTCCTACAAAACTTCATAAGACATGCAATAAATGCAGCTGATGAGAAGCCTTTAACTTTTACCCTGATCAATATCACGTTTAAATTGGAAAACACTTTAATTAACAAGTTAATTTTCTTCCTTACCACGAAGGCAGTTGCTTTTCTTCGAGCAGTTCTCACACACTAAAAGAACCGAGCAGATCGGTTTCTCCTCTACAGACAATTTTATTGCTGTTCTCAAATGGGTTTGGCAGCCAACAATTCTAAAGATTTGTATTTACGCTCTGGATTTAATAAATATTTCTCTTACGGTGAGCTTAAATTTTTCTGCCTCCTAAAAAGATTCCAGCTGTTATGCCAAGCCCAGCAGCCCGAGAATTCAAGATGATGTAATAGCGTGTCAAGATGCAAGAGTTTTTCTCACCAGGAACACCTCTCACCACATCCCATAATTCAAGAGCACGCACACAGAAAATAACAATTTAAACTTCCCATCTTCAGTATTTGGGCTAAGCACATCAGTAGTGATTTTGTTTGTGAAAAAAAACCATCTAGTGGGTTTGAAGGTACTCTAAAATCAAACCAGTTGACTTTCTGTTTGTCCACTCCTGGAGAGTCTCAGCTGCCTTCAACTATGCTGGTCATAGCAAGCACAGCAGATAGGAGAGCAAAGAGAAGCCATTTTAAATTGTAATTGTGCTCTTACTGGCACTGCTCTCAGAAGAGAGGGGAGATGGATCCATACCTCTTTATCACTGTAGGAGATATTCCGGATCTCATTCCACGGGAAGGAGATTTTAGGGGTCAATCTGTTGTCTGGGTCATAAATGTGAAGACCCAAAGCATCGACTCCAAGGAGCAGTTCAGTACCCTTCTTATTCTGAGGGAGGAAAGAAAAGAGCAGAAAATCCTTTAATTCAACTCAAGGACAATCTGACACAAACCAAGCCTTTGCCAGCTTTGTGAACCAGCCCTGAGCAGCGACCCACCAGCACTGTATGTTAAAAGGGCTCCCACCTCCCGGGTAGCAAAGCACAGCACAGTGACTCCCATTAACATGGCACAGCCGTGTCCCAGGTCTGCTGCCTCTTGCGGCCTCCACTCACGCAATCTCACAGCAACACAGACAACAGGAGAGCTACCCCAGCAAGGAACTCTGAACACCTTGAAAGCACAACCTACACTCACCCTAATTGCAAAATAGTTCACTCCATACATCTCCAAGTCCTGAGCTATCTTCAAATACTCCATTTCTGCTTCATCTCTGTCAGACAAAAAAGAGAAAAAAAGGCCAGAGTTACAGACATTTGGTAGGATCAGAGAGAGTGAGATGGCTGCGCTTTCTGATCCTAAGCACACACGATGCTTTAAAACCTTGACTGTCTCTATCACATGGGTCAGGTTTGTCTTTGCTAGCAGGATCAATACAGTCCTACAGCAAATCCCAGTCTGCAGCTTGCCAGCATCTTAATGGCTGTTGACGCCTGCCCAGAGAGACACAGCATTTCAAGCAATGCTTTGTTCCTCACCCAGTCCCTTAAGCATAAAGGGAAAAGTCTTCAGCTGGGAGTCCTATGCTCCAGTTCTATCTTACTTCAGGAATATCTCCCACAAGGAGTGTTTTACCACATGAGCAGTGATACACCTCACCAGTCTGACTTTCTGCCTTGGAATCTCTATTTCCTTCCTTGCCCAGTGAGCCCCCAGAGCCCCTGGGCAATAGGGCTGCCTCTGTGCCTCTTTGCAGGTACTCTCTCTCCTGAGCACGAGTCCCAAGTTCACCCCATCAGGAACCAGTGGGCAGCAGGGCAGAGCCACAGGAATAAAGAAAGCTCTTTGCCCTCTGTGAGCCTGTGAGCCAAACTTGCTGGGATTAACCCTGCTACGAGCAGAGCTCACCCATCACCTGCTCAAGGTCCCCAAAACCCTTGCAGCTCTTCAAGTGAGGGGGCTGCCCCTGAGCCACAGGCCACTCCAGCACACACTCACCTTGCTCTGCCTCGATGCTCTGCATACCAGGCTGTAATCCTCTCCTCCCACATCTCTGGAGTCATCTGGTACAGGTTTATTACCTGAGACACACAAGGAGACAGAGATCCAGGTCACACTGCTACTTGCCATATTTTCCCAAGCCATGAAACAGGCCAGAAATGCCCAAGCTTCCAGCATAATCCCCAGGCATTACAGCTCCTGCCTGCTCTCCCAGCAGTGCATGTTCAGCCCCACGCTTTGCAATATCACAGTGCTGATTTAGCCCTCAAGCATGCACAGTCTCCAGGCCACCAAGAAGAAACACAGACAGAATGAAAATGTGAAAACCATCAGAAAGAAAATAATTGCTTCTGCCTTTATTAAAATGTCAGAAAAATACTGAATCCTCCTTCCTCAGTACAACTCCTTGGGTCGTTTACCTTGACAAGGAAATCCACCCCAGCCCAATGCGCTGCAAGCAGCCCCACAGAGACCCTCTCTGCAAAGGGCTTTGTAGCACAAATGTTACCAAGTGTGGAAGTTCATTCTTCTGCTGGGTTGAGCTCCTTACCCGCTTTGGAAGCAACTCCTCCTGTGCCAGAAAGCCTCGCTTGTGGACGTTGGGATCATAATCACCATACTGGAAAGAAGCAGAGATGTTGTGCCCACACTGTTAACAACGCAGGCACACAGAACTCTTCACCCTTACACATCCACTCCTTGTGGACACAGCAAATACAGACCACCTACACCCTTCAGCATCAGCTTGTTAGAGGTGAGAACACGTGCTCCTTGGTTAACATAATAAACAGAGTTCCATTGCAATGTGATTGCTCATAGAAACTAAGATCCCTGTTCTACTGCAGCAAACAGAGCAGGGTGCAGGACAAAACCTCCCACTGCCAGCTGGTGCCCACCATGCCCAGCATGGTGGCAACACCTTCTTCCAGCACCAGCAAAGACCCCATCTGCCCAAATCCGTGCCTTTCCACCAGCAGTGGGATGGGGATCCAACGTGTGGACAAAGACCTGGCCCCAAATAATGACTGATCCCAGTAAGCCAGCTGAGGCAGACTGCCTTTTCTCTGCTGCAGTTCCCCATTAACAAATATTTCAATAACAATAATAATGATAACAGGAATTTGGATGACAATTGCAGGCTCCCCTCGGGCAGGCGTTGACTTTTCTGCCAGAGGGGCCGTTGCTCAATTGGGTCATGGAATCCAAATCAGATTTGTTAAGCACACCCAGTAATTACTGGTATTTGTTTAGATGCACATCCTTCCGAGCAGCATATAAAACGGCTGAGAAATAAAACTGCTTATTAACAGATTCAAAAGCTGAGCGTCCCTGCAGTGCGTGTGAAAATGAATTTATCTCCCATGCAGCATAAGAGGGGAGGAAACAGCCAGAAAGCAGCACCTCAAATAACCTCGCAGGTTGAAGCGGATGGGATGAAGGATGTGAGGCACGTACAGGAAATGCTGCGATTCTCATTCACCTGGCAAGCAGGACTTCTGCAGTGACATTAGGTGATTACACAAGGCACAGCAACGCTCCCTTCAGTCATGCGTTCTGCAAGGGAAGCAGCCCTTCCCTCCCAGCTTCTCTGTAGCTCCTCAGCTCAGAAAGCACAAAAGGGTGACAATTTTTAAGGCAAGACCAAGGCATGTGGTGCTCAGACGGGCAGGAAGCTTTCCATGGCAGCCTCCTTTCAATGCCAGGACCACCACGTCGTGCACCAAAACCAGAGCTCAAGATCACAAGCCTACACAGACACCCCCTCAGCAGCCCAGCAAGCAACGTTTCATCCACAACAAGCAGGGATTAAAGACACAGATATTGATTTAGAGCCAGTGCAGATGTGAAGGAAGCATGCAACAGCCAACACTGACTCAGACTTCAATTAAAACAACGCAAACACTGGGGGTTCCATTCAGCAGGGTGCTGAGCAGTGGCAACTGTTTGTCTCCCAAGGTCTACAGGGCTTGGAGCTTCTCAGTGACAGCACATTGCAGGTATACATCTCTTGTACCCACGTCAGAAGGGAGCAGCAACAAGAACACGGAAGTAGCAAGGGAAACAACTCCAATAACCTTGGAGAGGCAGAAAATAAATCATTCCTAGGTGATGAAAATAACTGCAAACAGGATTAACACGAGTATTTCTTTTGCTGGGGTCTGCCATAGACATCCAAGACTAAGCATGGGTTATGTGATTTTCACGTGGTGAAAAATATTGCCGTGTCCCAGAGGAATATCTGTACGGAGTCTGGATGAGGACACTCATTATTCACAACTGAAAAACCAACAAATGGCTTAAATATTGCAGCGTAAGCTGGCTCAAATGATTCGGCAAACACGCTTTTAAAGACCTTTCCAATTAAATAATTGCTTCAAAAGTGTCACAGAATTTTAACTCCTGTTAATTGTACGACACAACTAATATTCACGGTCACACACAGAAGTTGCCTTCACATCATCCAGCCTGGCTTGTGCTGTCCTGTACAAACATGGGCACGCTCAGCTGCGACCCATTAGTGCTGATTATTGTTTGTTTGGGGAAAAAAACAAAAGCAGAGGGCCCTGCTGCTAATGCTGAAGTGCTTCAAGACCTGAAGTGCTGAGAGCAGCAGGGCGGCGATTTGCATTGGAGGGGCGAGGAATGGAAAAACCTCTTGGATGTTGCCATTGCTGCAGGGACACCTTATTTGATAGTTTCCAAGTCTTTCACTGCTATTTAAAACCTGAACCATCTCCAGTATTTGAAAGCGGTGTGGGTGGTTTGAATGCAGAGCCAGAGGGGAAAACACAGAGTAATTCCCCAAACGAATGCAACGATATAGGAATAAACAAGCTTTTAATTTGATGACCCGCATGCTTACTTTGTTATTTCAGGTGGGTGGTTCAACAGCAGCACAAACAAACCTAGCTGTCAATCAAGTGCCTTCATCAGCTGCAACCACACTGACTCCGTGTCAGGCCGTTATGCCCCTCATCATGCAAATCAGCAGGTTATTAGAGAAATTACTGTGCCCAGTGACTGCTTTCTTGTCCAGAAAGGATATCATTATCCTATTTAACTGGAAGGAGGTGACCTGCAATATCTTTCTTCCCAGCTCCATACTGAGGGTTTGCTTTCCACTTCTACCTTTCCTGAAAAAGAGCAGGAGGGGAAGCTCTGCCTGGTTGCCAAAGGGGCAGCAAGGAAAAGCCATGTCTGAAGCAGACATGAAAGGTGCATTAGCTAAGATAAGGAAAGGCACTCCTCTGCCATCTCCTCACAGCCTCTGCAGGATCAAGATCTGCAAGATTAGGAGAACTGCTCCGATTCCAGTCGATCTCCAGACACACAGAGCACGTGCTGCTGAGGACAAGGTCAGGAGCCAAGCTGGGAGAGCAGACACAGGACAGTACCACAGCTCTGCACCAAAGTCCATGCCGCTCCTGAGCATGTGAGCAGCCATGGCCAAGAACAGCACCCAAGGGTTTTACCCAAGGGTATTTTACCCAAGGGTTTATTCATTTTGGCAGTGGAAGTGGCATCCCCTCTGTACCCTCAGCTTGGCAGGTCACGTGAGAAAAACCCAAGCGAGTGTTCACACGTGTATGTGATCAGAGCAATGGCTGTTTCACACAAGCACTGTTAAAAGCAACTCTTTTCCCCAGCTGATGAGTCCCTCTAACAAAACAGACTGGCATCAATATTCTGCCTATGAGGAGAACACAGCTTTTTCTAGCAAATCCAAACATTTGTCATCAAACAACACTGTGCACATCACCTACTGCTGGATTCAGACAAAATGGGCACGGACTGAAGGGTTATGAGGAATGTTACCATGCAACCTGGAAAAAGCCATTGCTGAGGATGAGACCCCTTGAAACGAGTGCTTCCACCCTGCCTGGATCGAGCCCTCCTCAGGCAACAGAAAAAAATCCCACTCCTGCACTGTGACGCAGATCTCACAGAGCACAGTTACCCTGCCTGTCCCCTGAGGCCCCTTAGGGACAGCAGCGGGGCACAGGCACTTGGCCTACGGTTCTGCAAGTCAAAACCCTTTCCTGAAGAGCATCCAGAAAATGACTGAGTACAGACACGAAGATGTGGCAGTTGAGCTGTGAGAGGACTCCAGCAACTGCTCTTCTTTTCCAATGGCATTATCTTTACATGGGAGCTGGAGATTAGCTAGAAAACTCAATTCAGCAGTGGTACATGTTGTGTCACAGGGATAAATGACCCATCTCTAGCAAGATGTCCCCACCTCTGAACCTATGGCTGCTCCCTGTATCACAAGAGTCCCCCTGCTGCTGGCTGCTTCCTCTGCTATCCAAGGCTGTTCCAGGCTGCAAAACAGTGCTCTTTAGAGTCAGTTCTTGGCAAAAACCACTGACTTGGGGTATAGAGCAGAATTCAGCTGAGGATTGAGGGGAACTTGATGACAATTGAGTTCTTCCCTCTGTGTAGTGAGGCCAAAGAGCCACGATCAAAGCTTCGGCAAAGGAACAAGTCAGAAAGATCTCTAACACTGCAATAACATTGATGAGGCAAGCTGTAGCACTCAAAACGAAGCAGTTATCAGGACAAGTATTCCAGGGAAGCAGTGGAGCTGCCAGTCTCACAGCTGGTTTGCTACTGGCTACAACAGCAAGAGCAGGGAGGAGATCCAAAAAAGCACAGGCTGCAGGAATTCAAGTGCTCCAGTAGTAACCCATACTCAAGTAGGCATTGCTAACTCACAGGCTGAGAGCTTGCTAAAGGCTTCTGGAAAGAGAAAATAAAAATGCATCCAATGTCCAAAGGCAGCCAGAAATTGGCAGCATGGAGAAGACAATGTCGCTATTGTAGTCCCATCACTTTTGAATTTTTAACAACTTTCCTTGCCTCAGGAAGTGGGTATGTAACAAAGCACCCAGCTTCCCAGGAGCAACACTAAGCCAGCACCACTTTGCCCTCAGAAAATCCCGCTGTGCCTACCTTGGCTTGGACTGCATAAGAGGCCAGCAGGACAGAAGCTTCAGGAGGACAGTAGATCTTCTCATCCAAAATCTGCTTCTTCACCTGCACACAGCAATAAAGGACACATAACACATGTTTAGTGAAGCAGTGCAAAGCATGACTGTCACAGCAGATGGCTGCAGTTTGTTTTAACTAGGGCTGTCAACCACACAGTTAACAACACTGCTAACACTAGCTCCTGCTCAGGCCCAGGAAATCTCTGATGTCTGTACAGGGAAGGGCTCAGGCTTTCACAAGCCACCTTTTGCAGACAGGTTTGCAAGAAACTAAATTTATACTGGGAAAGTGACGGAACCTGTATCTCACTGTGAAGGGCAAGGGGGGAAAAAAAGCCTTGCATGTGGAGATAAAACCTCCTAAGGCATAAGCTGTAGATTGACGGGACTACATGCAACACTAAACGAAAAAAAGCAGTTGTAGCTGAGGCTCTGAGCACACAAAGGGCTTTGCTGTAGGGCATTCAGACCTTCCTGTGAGTAGGTGCTCACCTGTGCTTGGGGCTAATTCCCTCCAATCCCCATCAACAGCAAGCAGACTGCAGGTCACCTCTGTGGCAGTGCTTTTAACAGCAGAGCCAGCATACAGTTCCCAAAAGCTACTGCTTCATGTTTCCTGGCTTCTGTGCATTAAAAAATTAAACCTGTCACGTTTGATATTTTATGTTCTTGGCCACTTAATTTTTCTGAAGAACAAAAAAAAAAGTACTATTTTCCTAAAATGGATTGTCACAGAGATACAGTAATGTGTATTTGAATGTACAGCACGTTTTGCACCCTCAAAGTCAGTTACAACATAATCACAGAAGATTCTCCTGCGTTAAGGTGAACGGGGGAGCTTGCAAGCTTATGTGTGTTCCTGTTTCTTACACACAGTACTGGAGCATTGGCTCCTCTCATATCATTAAAATCCTAGCAGAAAAGTCACGGTCTGCATTTATAAAATGCAGCTTTAACTGCTTTTCCTCTGTGATTCTATTTTTCAAAGCTGCCAAAAAGCATTTTTCCTTATCAGGCCTAAAACCCATGGCAAATTGGACATTTAGAAACTGCCCTAAGGAGACACGAGAGCACAAGACAGACTTTGGAAATGAACAGCAATATTTTGCATTTCAACCTTTAGCTCTGAAGAACAAAGACAAACTTTGGAACTGGGAGGAGTATCAATGAGCTAGTGAGCTCACTTTTATATCTGTTGTAAAGGGCAGAGTACACTGAAATCTAAAGCAAGGCAGCTGAATCCAGATTGCTCCTATTTTGGTGCAACTTCAACAGCCAAGGAGCAGCTACAACATCCTAATGAATGCCCAGAGATCGGCCCAGGATTATTCTACAGCCTGTAACACTCCTGCCTCCTGTTTCTTTTTATAGTAAATAGTTTCTGAAAATTGATCTTGTCTGAAAGAGAAAGCTGCTGTGACAGAAACGCTTCATTACCAGTCAGACAGCACAGCTACAACATCAGCTGAACTGATTTCTCAAGACATGATGTTTGGTAGAGTCCTTTAAATAAGAAGTTACTGTGCAGGCAGGAAGATAGGTTTCCCCTTCTCCTCTGCTTCTGCCATCAGTTTATGACAGAGTTGTGCTTCTGGGATTTTCTTCTGCTCCAGTTACCTGAAGGCTGATTTGCGAGGAGGTGAACCTTGCTGTACAGCCTGTACGTGAAACAGGTTGGCTGCATTCTGTGCTCCGGGATGAAATCCCCTTGCTTCCCACAAGAACACTATCACTTATAAAGGCAATTGTCATCTCTCAGCACAATCGATATCTACATCCTGCAGAGAGGCAGACTCCAAGGCTGCGAGTGTCATTCATGCCCACATCTGACATTCATTTTCCTTAACTATCACACACTAATGTTACAAATCATCTAATCATTTCTGATGGCCAGTTTGCAAGCCTGGGCGCCTGGGACTGCTTCATCCATCTCTCACCTATTTTAGGACACTTCTGCAGTTCAAGACAACTGCATTCAGAGGGGTGTGAATGTAATGACAAAGAGCCACGCTTTGCCGACCAAATTCCTCAGTCCCCAAAACCTTCTTGTACTTCTGCTCATCCTTGCTCCTTCCTCCTTCATGCTGGAAAACACCGTACTTACAAGGTTCCTACCTGCAGGAAGAACAAGTGCTGTGTGATCTCCTGGACCAGCTCCTCCTCTGCGTTCTCAGGATAAAATTTGGCTAGGAAGTGAAAGGTGACAGGTTCCTCTGTTGGCACGTCATGATCCAGAACCTGGGGAATAGAAAAGCCATTCAACTACACCCCCTAGCTTTGTCAGGGTCCTGTTTCTAGGAGCCACACTGTCACCTTCTGTTAATATCAGCATAGCTTTTGTCAAGCATCTTAGGCGTGCAGAAGGGATGAAACAACCTAAGTAGTTCAGAAGAGCATAGAAAACAAACATTTCTGACAATCAGAACCGTGCAAGAAAACAAACAGCATGCAAGATGAGACAGCAAAGGTTGACCTTGATCTGCTGTGTGCATAATGCTGCTTCCCAACCTCTCACAATGATGTTAGATGCTGCTATGCCACCACCAACCTTTATGGCTCTTTCCCTGCAGTGCCTCTCCCTCTATTTCAGACTTGCTCTCTGACACCTCGCTATTATGCTGGTGCTGTCTGGTTCAGATTCATGTTAGCTTAAAACTTTGGCATGACACCGAGAGACGCCTCCTTTAGTCACAATTACTGCCTGGTTTTAGTGCAGCATCGTTTGGGTGCAAACAGAGCCACATCCATCACTTCTCTAACCAACTGCTCAGCAACCCAGAGGCTCACATATCTGGGAAGCATCCCATTCCTTATCTCGACCTCCTTTTCACTCCTCAGTTATGCAGTTTTGCCTCCTCCTTTGCCTTTGCACACTTCAACAGCAAAAGAAGCCAAGGTGCAACCTTTCACCTTCCTGCTACAGGGCTTGTCATTCAGGGGTGTAGAAGAGAGACTAAAAGCAGCCATCACTAGACTCTGTTTACACTACAGACCTCCTGCAGTCCAGCACCTCAGGGTTGGAAGATGATCTTTAAGGTCCCTTCCAACCTAAGCTACTCTTTGATTCTATACATCCTCCTCTGTCACCCTTTGGGAACTCTCAGAAGAGCCTTGCTTCCAACCTTCTTGTCCATTTTAAGCCAAGCCACCGTGTCCTTGATAGTGTACTGCAGGCCAAAGAACCATGTTTCTCGGAGTCCCAGCGTTCTGCATACCAGGTCAAACAAGTCCTTGCCTTTCCACTTCACCTGCAGGAAAAGGAAAGGGAAGCCAAGTTATAAAGATGGACTGGAGGATTTTGTTTCCATTCAACCAAACCCATTCTTTTTTCCACCTCACAATGTGTTCCTCATAGGGAAACTGGAACGCCAGGCCCACCCAAATGACACTGCGAAGTTCCACTGTTCCTTCCTTTAGCAATCCACCAGAAGTCAGAGGATCTGAGGGGTCCTTTTGAATCAAGCTCCTCTATGAGTAGCTCATTTTCAGCAAGGAAAGAAAGAGGAAAAAATGTCTACGTATCACTCTTAATTGCCCTCTGGTAGCTTTAATGCAGCTACGGCCCCAGGAATCCCTGCCCAACCTCCAGTATCAGCAGCTCGGGCAGACACAACACAACACAGGGCACAACACAACCGAAAACCAGAAGGGAAACAACCGATGCATCCACTGCGTGCATCCACAGCAACAGGCTCTGCACAGGCTAACGGGGAGGAGGGCCCAGGACTATCATTGAAATCAGCAGTTCTCTCTGAGCGTGTCAGGCTGTGCCTTACACTGAAGATGTGACAAAAGCAGCAAGGGAGCAGAGGAAACGGAGGTGCCCAAAGAGCGCGGCCTTCCAACAGTCTTGTCCTTCCAACAGTCTTGTCGTCACAACCGCGCCACTGCTGAGCTTTGTTCATAAAACCAGGAGGCGCTGGGAGGCAGAAAGGTGAAGAAAGACACAAAACAGATGAACCTAATGTGCCAGAGCCACTCTGGTCTTCCATCTGTGCGGCGGAAACTGAGACATACGGCCATTACTCCAAAGCCCCAGGGCAAAGGGATCTCAGCGCATTCTCTTGTCGCTACAACTCAATCTCGGTGCCACCTGGCCAGCATCGATAGGAACGCAAGGCCCCGGCGCACGCTGCTGCCGCGGGGCCGATCCCCGCTCCCGCTGTCCCCCACTGCCGCCTTGTGGGCAAAGCGGCTGAGGACAGGCCGATTCCTGCTCCGATTCAACGAGCACGTGGCTGGTTCTGCCCCTCGCAGGGCACACACGAGCGCACCGACGTCCCAGAATAGAAGAAAGCCACTGCCCCCCTCCAAAAAGCAGCACCCCAGGGCGGCTCGCCACGGCCTCTCTGCAGTTCCTATCAGGCGCAATCAACACCTCGAGGTCAGCAGCACCAGGAGGAGCGAGTTCTGCAGCGCTGCAATTACAAAACCCGAATTTCACACACCAAACCAGCCTCCGGTCCCTACAACGAGCTCCAGCTTGGCACAGGATGCTTCAGATTGCACGTCTCCTCCCGACTATTATTTTAAGAAGGAGGTTAATTTGAGGTTTCAGACAGCACAGAGCAGGATGCATTTGAACAGCCGCTCCATACATTTCTGGAGGCACGTGGAAGCGCGCCGCCATCAGAGGGCAATTTCCTAACTGGAATTAAACTGCTCTGCATAATGCATTGCCATTTGGGCTTTGTTATTATTTCCAACCCCCCCCCTTTTCACAAAGGGGCTGCTGCAGCTCACCCCAGCCACCCACCTTACAGCCGGTGCTTTGCACGCCCCTCCTGCAATTCCCACTTTGCAAAGCAATTGTTTCTGCCATCACATTTGACACTGCTGCTGTTACTGCACGCGCACGGCAAGGCAGAGACACGCATTTAACACTGCTGCCCGCTGAATTACCTTCATTAAATATAGAAATGGAACAGCGGCCGCGTTTATTTCAACGTACACGATTGCCTTCCACACCTCGGTACTTAAAATAATGATCTGCATTCAAGTGGCATCTTTGGACAGCTGAACTCCAACTGTTTTACAGACATGGAAGACCTTAGCTCTGTACCCATATTTGATAGGCCTCGTATCATTAACTGCCACATTTCCTGGCCATAAAACACAATAAAGGCCCCCAGGGACAGCAGGGGATAAAGAGAGCTGATGCCAGGGGCTGAGCAGACGAGCCAGCCGTGAGCCTGCAGCCTGGCAGCTCCACATTCCACCCTCTGCTCATCACACCGCTCCCGTGCTCCGTACACCTGAAGCACAAGGACAATTTTGCATGTCATCGGAAGGTCCTGAAAACAAAACAGAGAGGCTTAGAGCAGAGCAGTGCCCTCAGCCGTGCGCTCGAGCAGCTGGCACCATGCTGTAACAGAGCTCAGCCTCCAACCAGAAGCTCCATCACAACAACCCTAATCCTGCACAGCCAGGCGGCCCTGCACGACCCGCAGAGGGGAGCAGGATGTGGCTGCAGATGTCACTTCTCACACTTGTGGCTCTGCAGCCTCCTACCAGCTCGACTTCAGCACAACCTGCTAGAGACATTCCACAAGTCTTGGAGGAACGCAGGGACAAACTGCTTTAGGAACACAGCGAGTGCTGCGAGGCTGCGATTCTGCAGAGCTGCAATTCATGCTCTTTACTAAGCACAGAGTGCTCACGATTTATCAGCACGGCGTTTTAAGCAAACAGCACTAAGCACTTACAACCCAGCAGCTAGAAAGGAGCTTCCACTTCCACCGTGCCTTATTGGCATCATCTTTTTCTCCAGCAGAGCCGTCGCATTTGGCAGCTATTAACGGGGTTTGCATTATTTATTAAACTGCAACAAGAGTAATTTCCAACAGACGGGCAACTGGGCCATTTATTTCAATGCAGACCCTTGCCAGCAATTCCCAGCACTGCTCCTTAGCTCCCCAGCCTGTCCCCCGGTGGCACAAACACGAGGCAGGTTTAGCTGATCCCCCTGGCAAGGGCTGACAACGGGGAGGCCAAGAGGTAGAAGAAAACACACAGCAAGGCACAGGAGGTGCCCTGCAGAAGAGTGCTGAGGGTGCTAAAGAGAAAAGCGGTTCCCAAACTCTGCTGATGCTTCACTTCCAGCGATGCCCTGCTGAATTTACACGGGAAAGGGAAAGAGGAATGGTTTTCAACCCCTTAGGATTTCATAAGAGGAAGGAGAGGAACAAATACAGGCCCGATCTTCTTGGGGCAGAACCCAGCTCAAGGCAGCTCACCTCCCTTCCATCACAAAAACAGACCAGGCCTTCGTACGACAAACACAGAACGGTGGCTTTTCAGCTCAACAGGTCAACTTTATTCAACGTCAGCACTGGTTCTGTGCTAGACATGAGACAGGAGCCCAGGGTCCCTGCTGTGATGCCGATGGCAGGCAGGGCAAGCAGAGGAGGGGGCCGAGCCCTGGGAAGCAGCACGATGGTTTCACAGCAAGATATTTCCACTCAGGAACCCTGTGGGAGAAGCAGCTTTTAGCAGAGCCAACACCTCTGCCCTGAAACACAGGGGGAGATCACAGAGCGGAGCCCCTCTGGGCACCTGGGCACACAGCAGCTGCCCCTCATCCACCAGATGACCAAGCAGAATCCACAGCAGCAGACAGCCCAACGCAGGGCAACTTTGAGGCTGTTTGGACCCTGCACGCTCACAGGAGCGCCCCAGACAGCCCTTCGTTTGGGTTTAACGTCCTTCTGGAGCCAGCAGGGAATCAAATATTCAATATTCCTCCATTCCTTTAAATAAACAGATGTCAAATACTTTCAATTGCCACTTACTGAGCCACGAGACAGGGCCGTAAAAGTTATTTTTATTTACTAATGCTACACGACAACTCGATAATGAGCTTTTAATTAAAATCTATTCCTGCTAACCACCGAGGAGGCCAAAAACCCACCCAGGCATAACAAGGCAGATGGTGCAGCCAAGCACAGTGCCTGCTGTCTGCCCGAGACAGAGACAGGGCTGGGTGCAGGGGAAGAAAGGGCTGCTGCGGCTCTTCCAGCTGGCAAGGGAGGGGAAAACAAGCAATAGAACCCAGCTCAGCCAAAGGCTGGATGAGGGAGGACTGATGGAGCTCCTGAACCGAAGGAATTGGATAACATGGGGCTCAAGAAGAGGCTGAGGAGAGCTTGGAGCGGGAGAGCAGAGAGCATTTCAGATTGGGGGTGCAATCAGAACGAAGTCAAGGAGGATCTGTGCTCATAATGTGTCTCGTGTGACCTGCACACAGGTTGAGAAAGAGAATGCAGAAATGAACAGAACCCAGCAAGACAGCCCTGAGAAATCCCCAAGTGACGTGGCTGTAAATTAGCAGTACTGCTGCTTTTGCCATAAAGCCCCCCGAGATGCAAATCAAATGGGAAAGCAGCTTCTGCCTGCCACTTCTCTTATTAAAGCAGGGACTGGGAGCCACCGAGCAGCAAAAGCGTGTGAGCACTCAGAGAACTGACACAGGCCGAGGGCAGATGGGTGCACAAAGGAACCAGAACATCGACTTGACAGCTGGCATCCCAGTAATTTACTGAAGATCATTTTGCAGCTGAAAGGGATTATTTCTCTCAGCTTTTTAGGAGAGCTGTTCCTGTCCCCAGATCCATCTCCGCCTGCTTGCAGCAGCTTAGCAGCATCGAGAGGTCAGTGCCATTACTGGCAGCACCAAGGAGCTGGTGAACATTTACCAAAGGATGAACAAACCCACATAAAACCTCTCCCAACCATTTTGCAAAGCAGGCAGAAACTTCATCCCCTGCTTCTTCCTCCTGCCCTTTTCATTTGGGCGCAGTGAGCTGAACTCCCTGCTCTGACACACAAACTCTTCCTCAACAACTTATTTGGCCACAGATTTTCCACACCAGACCTCAGCTTGCCCCTGCTCCCAGGGATAAGCTTTTGCAGCACAGCTATGTAACCCCCTGCAAACGTTAACAGGGAGACCAGCACTTGGCTGCACGCTGCTAAAAGAGACTTCTTCTACTTACATGCACATAGGAGAGTTTTACAACCAACCACAGCAAGTTGGGTACCAAGGCCTGAACGCCCTGCACAGACACCTTCCAGCTGAGGTTGTTTTCTGAACAGAAAGGAACAGCTTAAGCATTCAGGCAGTGACACAGCACAAGTTTAGACCAAACGTACAAGTGTCTCTTACTGCTTCAATGCTTGTGCTTTCTCCAGGTTGGCTGTTAAGTTTTCCCACTCATTTCTGGCTGAAAGAGCTGCTGCTGTCCAAGGATTAAGCGGAGAGGCAGCTGCTGCTTGGTCCCATAATGACTCCTACAGGGGCTCCAAGACCACAGGCATTATGGATAAAGAGAAAAAACCCTTCTGAGAAGCTGCTGAGACTCCAGAGCTGGAGAGCCAGTCACCACGCTGCCACACCACAGGAACAAAGCAAATCAAGGACTGGTGGATCCTTCTATCAGCTTGGCATTAGTGACCAACCCAACACCAGCACTGCAATCCTGCTGCGGGAACAGAATGAAGAGAGCCCCACAGGAACCCAACAGTACCGTGGGGTAAAGACACTGTGCAAGAGAAGTGAATAACCTGACTATCTCACAAAGAGCCACCACCAGGATTGCCTCACTCCTGCCATATCACTAGTCTAATTTGGGGCAGGAACGGCAGCAAGTTGCCCCACCAGGGGGGCAGTCAGAGGAAGCCATTGGCCACTCAGTGTCCTGGCATCATAACCTGGGAGGCAGCGAACCAAGCACCACCAGCACCCCCAGCTGTCACTCAGGCAGTGCCTGGCACACGGTGGTGTTAATTGACCATGTGTGTTTTCCAGTAGGATTTCTCTCCCGCTGCTCTCCAGGTGCAGGTGGTGGTGCTCAGGAAGATGGGGCAGCCAGCAAGCGGCTTAGCACAGGGATTTCAACAGTTATGCAAATGTCTGTCCTTGCTCAAGATGCTATCAATTAATTAGGAACCGTGCTCACACAGCTCTAATGGAAGGAACACAAAAAGGGAGACGTTGACATTGTGCCTTTAAGATTTCCCTGAACAAATTACAAGTCTTTGAAGTGAGGCCCCAACTGCGATTATTAAGCTTCATCACAGCGTTAGAAAGATTACGATTTCATTTCTAGGAATTATTTCAGATTTAGACTCAATTTAGAGACATTATTCACGGAGTCAACAGACGCAGAGCAGGTTTAATCTCCTGCAATACCCAGCCAGGAATTCCTGCAGGGCAGACTGAAAAATGAGTAAGGAAAAGGTGCCACAGCCACATCAGCTTCCTCAGAATAAGAGGGGCTGCCACGACCAGAGGTGGCAGCAGAACCAGGGTGGCACACAGCCTCATATGCACTCCTCCTGTGCCAGATGGGAATTGACGGCCGGAGTGCCTGGTGTCACAGCCAGCCAGCTGTTACCAGACCTCACACCACGCTGACAACACCTCACCACCCCCCATCACCTCCGTCCTGTGCAGTCACTCAGGAAAACACACAACGTGCCTCAAGAGCTCTGCAACAAAGTTGAAAAGGAGCCAGAGAGATTAATCCTGCATAGCAAGGCTGCTCCAGCAGAGCTTGGTCACTCACTCAGATGTGTTCACTGGCACTGCAATCAGCACTGGTCAAAGAAGCCAGCAGTTAAGCAGGGCTCAGACCAGCAGGGCCCCAGACCACGAGCAGCACCAGCCTCCCCACAGCAGCTCCCTAACTGCTCACCCTGCATGCATCCAGGAAGGAAAAGGGGCACAAGCACTTAGCGTGAGGCTGAAGAGGTGTACAGGAGGCACAGAGATGTGAGGCAGCTGTTTGCAATGGGGCAGGCAGTGGTCTCTGTGGATGTGTTTTGGGGTCCTTCCCTGCAGCTGTCACTACACAGAGGAGGCAGCAACACAGCCAGGGAGCTCAAACAGCCACAGCTGAGCCATGCAATGTGCCCCTGTGGGGCTCTGGCAGTGGCACCCAAGTGGGCATGGGGAGGCCTGAGGGGGGCACGGAGGGTCTGGGGGAGGACTAGGGGGGCCATGCAATGCAGCCACCCAACCTGATCCTTTCTTCCCCACTGCTGGGAGGTCTCACACTGGAGGTCAGAGCCTGAGCTCCTGTACGTGTCCTCTGTGCTCCAGTGAGAGGTCAGAGGTGCAGGAGCACAACGCTCGCAAGCATCTCTCTGAGCTCCCCCAAAGGCTGGGCAGCCTCTGCTGCAAAGTCTTTGGCTGGAGCCTCCCCAGCAGGCAGCTGAAGGTGCACAAGTTACGTGTTCCAACCCGACTGGGAGCGCCGGGCTGCCTCTTCATAAAAGCCCTGATCCCAACATGAAACAACAAGTGGCCACGGCGTGAAAAGAGAGTTACTGACTTCTCATCACCTCATTGTTGGCAGCCTAGGAAAGTGTCAGAGCAGGACTGGGACACCTCAACCCTCCCAGCAGGGTAACGCCGAGAAGCTGGAAGTGACAATAACTCCTTAATCCCTGGGAAAGGCACGGTGTGCCCCAGAGCTGACAGTGCATTTCAGCAGTGAGAAACGTCACAAGGACAAACGCCCTTTGGCTCACAGGCACGGAACTGCATCAAGATTCAGACAGAGTGAGTTTTCCTTTTTCACAGCTCATGCTTTAAAGTGGGTTTTCAGTCTCTCCGTGCCCCATCCCTCCAGAGCATTTCGTGATCTGAAAACCCAGCAACAAAAGGAAGCCCCTGGGGCCAGCAGCCACGGCAAGGCTGCCCGACAGGCACCGCGGGCCCAAGCGAAGGCAAACCTGACCTAAGAGACGCACACGGCAGGACACCTCAGCGACGAGTCGGGGCGGGACGCCGAGGGAATTCCCGCAGCCCCGTGCCGAGCCCCGCGGCTTTAAGCCCGAGATAACCCGCCCGGCCTCAGGCTGAGCCCCACGGCCCCCGGCCAAGGCCAGGCCGGGCCCGGCAGCCCTCAGACCCCGCGGCAGGGCCGGGCCCGGGGCGCTCGGGACACCCAGAGCGGGGGAGCGAGGCCCGGGGCCCCGTCTCCATGGCAACGGGGCTTAGGCCGCGGCCGTCACCTCGCAGCTGAACTCCATCTCGGCGTCCATGGTGACGATGCGCACCGTGAAGGTCTTGGGCTGCTTCCTTTTGAGCGAGCTGAAGCTCATGCGGGACGCGATGGCCCCGGCCATGGTGCGGGAGGAGCTCAGCGCCGAGGGCCGCGCCGCGGGGGCAGCGCCATGGCGGCGGCGGCAGCGGCGGCGGCTCCGGGCCGCGCCGAGCCCAGCCTCAGAACGGCGTCCCCCTATTGGTTCCGAGCTCGGGTCGTCCCGCCCTCCGCCCCGAGGGTCGCGCAGCACTGAAGCCAATCAGAAGCGGGATGACGGGGAGAGGGGGAGAGAGGGACGTGCGGATTGGGCGAAACGGCCGCTCGTCAAGGGGAAGGAGCGGGGGTAGACAACAGGGCTTCGTGCACACACGTTGCGGCGCGCATGTGGCGCCCTCTTGCGGCTGGAGGAGCGTGCATCACCCTGCCGTCGTGAATGAGCTGAGCGCCGTCCCCGTCCTGCTGCTGCGGTGGCACTGCGGGGCCGTGGGGTGGGGGGCGCTGCCCGGTCCTGGCCCCGATGCAGGGGGGTCTCAGAGCCTCCACCTCGTGGGGATGCACTGTGGGGAAAGCAGGAGTGGGACGGCGTTGGGATAATGGGAATGGGACCAGTACTGAGATAACAGCAGCAGGACAGCGTTGGGATAATAGGAATGGGACAAGGACTGAGACAACGGTACAGGACTGAGATTGAAATAGTGGGATAGGACTGAGACCAGCATGGGGATAATGGGGCAGGATCAGAACCAGCACTGGGATAGTGGGATGGGCACTGAGACCAGCACTGGGGTCGTGGGACGGGAATAGGGACCATCACTGGGGTAATGGAATTGGAGAGGGTCACAGGGATTAGCATGGGAATAATGGGACGGGACCAGAACCACAGCTAGGATGGCAGGGTGGGAATGGGGATGCAGATTGGTACTGGGATAATGAAGGTAGGATTGGAACCAGGACTGCCATGGGGATAACGGTTACATGGGACAGTAACAACATAACAGGAGAGGACTGGAACCCGTATCAGGAAAATGGGATGAGGACTGAGACTGGCATAGGAATTATGGGATTGGAATAAAAGGTTTGGGCCCCTCTCCCAGGCCCCATCTCAGCACCACAGTGCCCCCGCACACCACAGAATGGGGCCTCTGTGCTGTGGGGTGGGTGAGGGCTGAATGGGACCATTCACAGTGCCACCCCCCCCCCTTCCAACCACCCCCACAGGGACCCTATGGCCGACAGCAACGCTGCAACCCCCTGGGGCCCCGGCAACGGCACCCAAGTGGGCATGGGGGGCTGGGGGCCACAAGGGGAGATATGGGGGGGGGGGGGGGGGAGGCTGTATGGACAGTCTGCGGGAGCGACGGGGGGTGTAGGAGTATGAAGGAAGCAAGGGGACTGGAAGGTACATGGGGAGGGAGCACGGTGGGTATTGAGGAAATGAGGGTGTCCGAGAGGGGTATGGGGAGCTATGGGGGGGTATGGAGGAGTCCAAGAGGACCCAAATTAGTAGAAGGCATGTGAGGAAATACGGAGGGTGTAAGGGGGGATCAGATGGGCATGGGGAATTAAGGGAGGGTCTGGGAGAGGTATGATGAGCTATGGGGGTTATGGGGGACAAAGGGAATCTGTGGATCTGTGGGATAGTATGAGAGTACCTGGGGGGCAGTGGGGGCATGGGGGTCTGTGGGGAATATGGGGAGCCCAAGGGAGCTATGGAGAAGATTGTGGGTGGGGGGACATGAGGAGCTTTGTGGGAGCACAGGGGGGACCAGGGGGCATGAGGGACTAAGACAAACATGGGAGGGAGTGAAAGGGGACCCTGGGGAGTGGGGGACCAGGGTAACAAGGCAGGGGGGCACAGGGATCTGAGGGAATCCCTTTAAGACCCCATCCCTGGTAATGCCCTGTGCCCAGCCCTGCCGCCCTGTGCTGAGGATCCACACCTTTGGAAAGGGGGAGCAGGCAATGAGGAGAGACCCCCACATCCCCCCCACCATGCGGGGCTGGCTGCACAAGCAGGTGGGGCTGAGGGGAACAGCGGGATGGGGGGGGGTGCGCGGTTGTAGGACCACAGGTGACTGGGGAGGGGGGATTCAGGGGGACTGTGAAGTAGGGTGTGCTGGGGGAAGGTTATGGGATTTGGGGGGGGGAGGGGGCCGGAAGGGCTCGTGGGGGGTCAGTGGGTGCTGGAGGTTAGGGGTAGGGTCTGGGTTTAGGGGATTCCTAATGGAGTTATGGAGTTTGGAGAAGTCTGGGGGGGTTATGGGTCTTGGAGATGTTTGGGAATGTTGGAGGGGTCTGGGGGGAAGTTGGAGAAGCTGGTGGGTTGTAGGTTTTGGGGGGATCCAAAGGGTTTGGGGCAGGTCTCAGGGGGCTCTGTGTTTGAGGTGCTGGCTCAGCCCCCTTTTTACCTCCCCAGGACAGCTCAGGGCTGAGGCTCTGGAAGCGGCGCTGGTTTGTGCTGGTTGATCTCTGCCTCTACTACTACAGGGGTGAGGCGAGGGGCAGGGGATGGGCCTGTGACAGGGGTCAGGGGCTTCTTGGGGCTCCCTGGGGCAGGTTCTGGGGGAACTCAGGGGGTCAGTGGAGCCCCTGCCATAGGACTGGAGCTCTGCAGGGTTCGGAGAGGTCCCTGGGGCTGCCCCCCTGAATCCTCCCCTGCCCTCAGACAGCAGCGAGCAGCGAGTACGGGGGGGGCTCCCCCTACCTGGCTACAGGATCCGCGTCCTGGCCCCCAACACTGGCAGCCCTCGCTTCCTCTTCACGGTCAGTCGGGGGGAGGAACTCCAAACAGGGGGCAACAACAGTTGCCGTTCTGCAGCCAAGGTTGGGACCCCAAAGCCCAGTTCCCCATGTGGGCCTTGGGGTGCTGTGGCTGAATAAGTGCTGGGGGGAGGAGAGGGGGGTCCAGGCCCATTGCTGGCTCATTGCTCCCCCAGGTCGAGCACCCCGGGATGCGGAGCTACGTGCTGGGGGCTGACAGCCCTGAGGAGCTGGGGGCCTGGATGTGCAGTTTGCGGCACTCTGCCTCACCCCTGGGGGGGTGAGCCCCAAACTGGGAGACATGGGGAGAGGGGGGGGCTATGGGGGCTCATGGAGAATATAGGGGCAACGTGGGGGAGGATATGGAGGGGCTATAGGGGGCATGGAAGGGGTAATGGTGGGCTATAGGGGGCTATGGGTCGTTATGGAGGGCTATGGGGCTTTAAGGGGGTCATGGGAAGCCATGGAGAAGTCATGGGTGGATACAAGGAGGCTATGTAGGGGTCGTGGAGGACAACGGGGGCATATGGAATAGATAAGGGAAGGTCACAGGAGGTCTTGAGGGCCTATAGAAGCCAAGGTGGGACTATGGAGGGTTACGGAGAGGCCACGTGGGGCTAAGGGGGGGCAATGAGGGGTTGTGGGGCACAAAATGGGGATTGTAGGGAGTGATGGAAGGAAGCGGGAGTCCATGGGGAGCTACGGGTGGGGGGGTCGCAGGGCTCCCACAGGCAGGGCTGGGGGCTATCAGTGCTTTAACCCCGCCCCCAGCCCGGCCCCGCCCCGCCCAGCGCTCCCGAGCACGCCCGCCCCAGAGGAAACCCCGCCCCACGGCCTGCAACAGTCCGTGGCAACGACCAATCAGCAGCTGACGCCGCCGGCCGCAGGAGGGCTTAGGGATGCAAAAGAAGGCACCGTAGCCAATCAAGAATCGGCTTTTCCAAGGGAGACCTCTGATTGGCTGCTGGCATCTGGAGGCACGGCCGCGCAGGCGGCAGCCAATGAGATCTCTCTGTGGCCGTGGGAACAAAGCATTGTGGGTAGCCGGGGGCTCGAGGACGGAAGAGAAGGCGTGGCCAACGGGTCGGCGCGGCAGCCAATCAGAATCACCCTGCTGCACGCCAGCTTTTGAGGGCGGGGCCAGCGCGGTGCCACGCCCGATGAGGGGCAGAGTCCGGTTGTGGGCGTGGCTATATTTAACCACGCCCCAAGGCGCCCCGCCCCGGGAAGATGGCGGCGGCGCTGGCAGGAGGCGGTGCGGTGCTGCTGCGGCGGCTGCAAGGTGGTGGCGGCTGCGGGGCCCTCGGCGGGGCGCGGTGAGCGGAGCCCGGCCCCTCCCTGCCCGCCCCGCGGCCCGGAGCCCCCATGGCCCATCATCTCCCCAGGCTTCATCATTCCCCTCAGGTCCCATCATTCCCCCGACGCCCCGTTTCTTTCCCAGGCCCATCTTTCCCCTCAGGCCCAGAAACCCGCAGCTCCCATCTCTTCCCCTTCAGCTCCTGTCTCCCCCCAGGCCGCATTTCCGCCCTTCCCTTGGTCCTCCTCTCAGCTCCCATCCCCCTCCCCTCAGCTCTCCTCGCCCCCCGGCACCCATCTTTCCCCTAGAAGGCCCCAACCCCCCTCCCCCAGTCTTTCCCCTCGGCCCTCATCTCCCCCTCCAGCATCCATCTCCCCTTATCTCAGCCCCATCTCCCCCAGTCTCAACCCCCTTATCTCCCACCCCATCTCCCCCCGCCGTGGTTCAGGGCCTGCTGTCACCCTGTGCCCTCGCTGAGCGTCCAGGGCCGCTGACCCCACGCCGTTAATACATTACCAGGCCCTGCCGCTCTGTGGGCAAAGGTCTGACCGAGTGCACTGCCTCTGTGTCATCTCTGTCACCCTACACCCTTGGGCAGGGCCACCGCGAAATGAATGAGACCTCTCCCTGGGGAGCACTGGGTGAGGGAGCACGCAGCCCTGGGGCTGGGTTGGGAATGGAACAAGATCCCTCCTCTGCTTCCCGCTTTCCCCCCACATCAGACCACAGCCATTGTGCCCAGCTGTATCCTCCCCCCCTCGATCCCCCCCCAAGCCCTGCTGACGGCGTGGTCCTGCAGGGCATACTCACAGGATGCTGAGGGCAGCTGGTTCCGCTCCCTGTTTGTGCACAAGGTGGATCCACGCAAGGATGCCCATTCCAATCTTCTGTCCAAGAAAGAGACCAGCAACCTCTACAAGATCCAGTGTGAGTGACACCACAGGCAGAGGGTGCACACCCCTCCCAGGCTCTTGCAGCTTGATAACGCAGCCGCTCATCCCGCTCTCTCTTGTGACATTGCATCTTGCCATCTTTCCCCCACAGTTCACAATGTGAAGCCAGAATGTCTGGATGCCTACAACAGCCTGACGTGAGCTGGGGGACTGCCCACTATCTCCCGGGGACTGGGAGGGGGTCAATTGGGGGTGTCAGGGGGATTTTGGAATCTCTTGTGCTGGGCTGAGAAGGCAAATGGGGATGTCGGGAGCATTCTGGGGTCAGAAACTCAGCACTTTTCTTGCTGAGAGAGACGCAGCTGCTGCTTGCCAGTTCCAGCTGCCCCCTTTCTCCCATCTGGGGCAGCCCAGGAGCACCCCATAAACCACCTCCTGTACCTCCTGCAGGGAGGAGGTGCTGCCCAAGCTTCACTCAGATGCCGATTACCCTTGTGACCTGGTTGGGAACTGGAATACGTGGTACGGGGAGCAGGACCAAGCAGGTGAGGGCTGCATTTCTGCAGGAGCAGACGACCCTGCATGGCCGTGACCCCGAGGGGATGTGGGGTGAATCCTGGTCATTCGGGAGGGGGGCTCCCTGGTGCTTTCCCCTCCTGCCAGACCTTACTGTCCCATCCCAGTGCACCTCTGGCGCTTCTCTGGTGGGTACCCAGCCCTCATGGACTGCATGAACAAGCTGAAGCAGAATAAGGTACCACTCACATTGGTGGCCAAATGGGGAGCCTTGTGGGGTGTCCACGCTCCCATCATCTTGCCCTGAGTCTCGGCTGTCCACAGGAGTACCTGGATTTCCGCAAGGAGAGGAGCCACATGCTGCTGTCCCGCAGGAACCAGCTGCTGCTGGAGTTCAGCTTTTGGAATGAGCCCCTGCCCCGCAAGGGGCCCAACATCTACGAGCTGAGGACCTACAAGCTCAAGGTGAGGCATGAAATGTTTCATCCCAGGCATGGCACTGGAACCCAGGGGATCCCAGAGCCCTGCTATACGTGCTGAGGTCTGCAAAGCAGCCTGTGGTCTGCAGGTGTTTGGGGTCACTTGCGCTCTGGCTGTGAGTTGGCCCTGGGCAGAGGGAGAAGGTGATACTTGGGGTGCAGCTGCCTTATCCTGTTGTTTATTTCCTCTGTTTGCAGCCAGGGACCATGATCGAGTGGGGCAATAACTGGTGAGTGGCTGCTTTATGCAACTGGTGTTCTGCATATGGCCAGGTGATGCTGGCCCTCAGACCCATTCTTGCATCCTTGTTCCTGTGGTGGTGGCACAGATGAAGCTTTGGCCGCTCTCAGCACAGGGACATAAGAGCTGAGCGCAGGGAGAGCTGTGCCAGCCCTGGTGTTTCTCTGCATCTCACCAGGGCTCGGGCCATAAAGTACCGCCAGGAGAATCAGGAGGCAGTGGGCGGCTTCTTCTCTCAGATCGGGGAGCTGTATGTCGTGCACCACCTCTGGGGTAAGCGTGTTCATCTCACCCACCCCACACTGGCACCCCACCACCTTGTGCACCCCAAACCCCATACACCATTCCCCAGGGGCTGCAGGGGAGGCGTTAGGAACAAGGTTTACCTCCTTGCAGCCTACAAGGACCTGCAGTCCCGTGAGGAGACAAGGAACGCGGCGTGGAGGAAGCGGGGCTGGGATGAGAATGTCTACTACACGGGTGAGCACAGGGGGCTGGGGCTGTCCCTGTCCCTGTGGCAGAGCTGCGAGGTGACCCCACCCCCGTTGTGTTTTGCAGTGCCGCTGATTCGGACAATGGAGTCCCGGATCATGATCCCCCTGAAGATCTCCCCGCTGCAGTGAACTGGGACACGTGCTGCCTGCCCCAGCTCTGCTGGGAAGTGCTGGGGGCGTCTTCTTCCATTTTGGGGTGTCTTGAGGGGGGTGGGGGGGGGGGAAGGGGTGAGAGCCCGACCCCCTGGGCTCAGCTGCCCCCTGTTTGTGGGGACCTGCAGGTGCCGCAGTGCACCCCGTGTTGCCATTGGCCCTCCATGCTGGGGGCAAACCCTCAGAAGCCCTCCTGAGAGGTGAGCTGGGGGCTGCTCATAATTACTGCTAACGAGCTGCTCGTCGGATGCCTGTCCCCGCCGGGCTGTGGGATATCACCAATTAAATATTTAATTGCCAGTGTCCGTGTCTGGGGAGAAGGGAGCACTGGGGACACGGGGACCCTCACGCATGAGGTGTCCTTATGCTGAGACCCTTGAGAGTGCCCTCTGCACCCTCGGTGTCCCTGATGCTATCGGGGAGCTCGCACCGCACCACCCAATGAGGCCATAGGCCACGCCCCCTTGTGCAAACCACGCCCATATTCTGACAGGCCACGCCCCCTTCGGGCGCAAGGCCACGCCCAGTGCAGTTGCAGTCAGGCCCTTCTGGCCACGGTCCTCCGAGAGCGGGCTGCCCGGCAGGGGGCGCTGGTCATCGCGTCTCTCCGGGCCGCGCTATGCTGCTCCGTGACGTCACTTCCGGGGGGAGCTGAGGCGGGTGGTGGGGTGAGCGCGGGGCTCCGCCGGAGCCCGTGGGGGTGTGAGAGGTGTTGGTTGGGCGGGGAGGGGACGGAGGGGTCACGGGGGGGAGCTGGGGGTAGGGAGCGGGGAGCTGGAGGCGAAGGGCCGGGACACGGTGCCCCTGAGGGGGTAGCAGGGCTGGAGGCCTCGCTTGGGCCTGGCTGAGGAGGAGCGGCCGAGCCTCCCGGAGCGCAGCCTTACCGCCCGTCCGCAGCCCTCGGCCGGCAGTGTCATGTCCTCGGACTCCAGCAAGAAGAGGAAGCCCAAAGTGATCCGAACGGATGGGGGCCCGCAGGAGGGCAAGCGGGGCAAAGCCGATGGCGAGCAGGTAAAGCGTGGCCGGGAATGGTGTGTGCTGAACGGTGCTGGGTCAGAGCCAACCCTCAGCACCTCGGAAACTGAACTGCCCCTCTCCCTTCTGACTCCTTGAGGACACACGGTGCTCAGGGAGGCAGCGAGCAGAAGGCTGGAAGGGCCCTCGGTGTTCCTGGGTTACCTCAGGATGCTCACATGAGGCTCAGGGCCAAAGTTCTGTCAGCATCTGTCAGCGGGGCTTCTTCTGTGCTGTAACCTCGGCACACTGCAGCAGCACAGCACCCTTTCAGCTCACATTAACTACATTGACAGGCAGCCTGTGTTTTCCAGTGTCTGTGTCCTGGATTGGTTACTGAGTTGTCATTCAACGTACGAAATCTCAAGCCAATGCAGCAAAGAATTGAGCCCAGCCATGTGTTTCCCACTGCCCTTTTTTGCAAACATGTAAGAGCCAGCAGTGCAGGTACTTTTGCCCTTTGCAGGATGCTCGGTACTACAGTGAGGAGTGTGAGGTTGATCTCCGGGACCCCATCAAGGACTATGAACTCTACAAAGAGACGTGCCAGGAGCTTCAGAGGCTCATGGCAGAAATCCAGGAGTTGAAGAGCAGAGGCGTCAAGGACAATGTAAGGAGAACCTTGAGTGCTTAGTTTTCTGTTATTTTTCAGGGAATCTGAAAGGAGCAGAAGCCGTGCCGTGTTCTGGGGAAAATTAGGCAAATGGAGCAGTCTGTGTTAAATAAAATTACGTATGATGAAGCTGAGGCGTGTGGTCTTTGGCTGAGCGATCTTTGCTCAGAATTACTGACCTCTGAGGCATGGCTGGGGAGTGTGCTGATGAGCTGGGACTCGGGGGCAGAACTGAGCTCCTGTGGATACCAGAAAGCCCTCTGGTTGTGTCCAGCAACGTGAGGCTCCCCAGGAACCCCAGTAACATCAGCATTGCCCTGCAGAGGAGCACAGAGCCCCGCTCGTCTCGGTGCTCGAAGAAAGGGCTGCAGCAGGGGCTCTGTGGTGAGCCTGAGCTGCTTCACACATTTCCCTCCTGCCTCTCAGGCCTCTGAGATAGACGAGCGACGCGTTCAGAGCTGCGTGCACTTCATGACCCTGAAGAAGCTCAATCGGCTGGCTCACATTCGGCTGAAGAAGGGCCGAGATCAGACCCATGAGGTACGGAGTGGGCGGCGAGCGCAGGACAGGGGGTTCTGAGGAGCAGAGATGCTGCAGTTTCTGCTCCCTGTGCGTGCATGTGCAGATCCAAACCACGGCCCGGTGGTGCTTTCTGTGCTGGAGTTTTGCTAGGAGGCTTTTCTGCAGGAAGGCAGAGGCTGTAGTTGCAATGGCTTGCAAAAGAGGGCCGTCTTCTCCTGTCAGGTAATGGTGAGTCAGATGGTCTTGAGCCTGGTGAGCTGCAAGCCTGAGAAACATCTGCTGATTGGCCTCAGAATTCTTAGCCATGCTTCTGGAAGATTTTTTCTGCTATATTTGAGCAATGTTTATTTTAATTATATTACTGAGGATACAGGAACAGAACGGGATCTGACCCACGTGCCTTAGCAGGTCTGCCTTGTTTCTGTCCCAGGCTGCCTTCCTAGAAGGCACCAGGATCAATGCAATGCGATGAATGTTTGCTTTCTCACTCCCTGAAAATGTCTTTTTTCCTTTTGAGTTTTCGCACTCCCCAAAACCTGCGTGGTAACAGTCTTTGCAGCACTGGGGTTGCCACAAGTGCATCCTCTCTGCATGTGTCCCTTCCTGCTGTGCTCACTGACTGTGTCTGTGTTTTAGGCAAAGCAGAAGGTTGATGCCTATCACCTCCAGCTCCAGAATTTGCTTTATGAGGTGATGCACCTGCAGAAAGAGATCACCAAATGCCTGGAGTTCAAGTGAGTTTGACTGGGGAGGAGGAGGAGTGGCTGTGTGCGTTTGCCACCCTTCCCTGATCCAGTTGTTCTGTCTCTGCAGATCGAAGCATGAGGAGATCGAACTGGTGAGCTTGGAGGAGTTTTACAGCGAGGCTCCCACTGAAATCAGCCGACCTGACATCACCCTGACTGAGCCCCACCAGCAGACCCTTGCCCGCCTGGACTGGGAACTGGAGCAGCGTAAGAGGTGGGTCCATTCTGCATCATTCATTGCTCTCTGAGCTGCAGGACAGTGCTCCCTGCACACAGCCCAGCCTGCACAGCCTCTCGGCGAAGCAAACAGCAAAGGTAAAGGTTTTTACAGCGTTACAAAATCCTCCCTGTGGAGGAAGTGGCAGATTTATTGTGTGACTATGCCCTTGTTATGAAGGTTCACCCCTTGCATTATGACAACAAAGGCATTTTAGCCGTCCCAGGGAATCCACACGTGCCCACTCCTTGAGGCAGTGCCCATCAGTGCTGGCTCTTAAGCATCAACAGGAGAAAACTAATTTTGTAGCTCGTTTCTGGCGTGACCACTGTGTGCTCAGAGGGAATGAGGCGCCCATCCAGCGTGGCGGTGATATTGAAGGATGGGCAGTTATGCACTTGGGCCCAGAGCCCTGTTCTGCAAGATGTGCCACGTAGGGCAAAGCAGTGGCTGTTCTGTCTGCTGTGCTGTGATGTGAGGAACGAGTTTAAGTGGCTCGGTTTGTCTGCTTGTGGCACCATCCCAGTGCAGGATCTGACCCCCAGCGTCCCTCCCCTGACGTGGCCAGACAAGGAGATTCACCCCTTGTGAAAACCAGACGTACCATAATTCTTCGTGACATCCAGCAGGTGTTTCAGAAGATCAGTCTAAGCTGCCAGCAGATGCTGTGGGAACAGCACAGCTCAGAATAGCTGTGCTGGTAACCAATAAGAGGTGCTGCAGAAGCTTGCAGAGGACTGCTCAACCTGGAGATTTAAGGTTCTCATTAGTGCTGCTTGTTCATTGCAAGCTGTGTGAAAGGTGAAGAAGAATTCAGTTGAGCATGCCCCACGTTGCACAGCAAAACACTGGGAAACTTTGTAGTTTCCAGTCTTCGTCCCACCGTGTTTAGGAGCACCGCGTTTCGTCACTGTGGTGGGAAATTGTCTTTTCAGCTGCCCCAGGAGTGCAGCGGGCACTTTGCAGTGCTCACAGGGCTGTTAGCTTCCCTCCACAGTGGTCGCGTTGCTGTTCCCAGCTCTGCCACTAAGCGGTGTGTTGGATTTGTCTGGGCTCAGTTCAGAAGTTGCCTCGTGAGCGGTGCGAGGGCTCTGCTCCTCTCTCTGGCTCCATCGCAGGGAGCTCAGCAGCGGTGTCTGAAAGCTGCACTTCAGACCTGCTGTGTGTAGGAAGCTGTTGTGCTGAGCCAGCACAGGAGCATTTGCTGTGTTGTGTTCTCAACCAGTGGGAAGCAGGGGCTGAAGAGGGGAGCATGTGAGCTCCATAGCAGGATTCCTTCTCTTGTGTCAGGTGCTTCCCAGGCGGTGTGCCCGAAAGCTCTGCTTTCTCTGTGCAGCTCTGCTATGTGAGAGGTGGCAGTGAACAGCAGTGAGGAGGCTGTGTGTGTTCTCCCTCAACAGAAGTGTAACCAGAGCTCAGAGAGTCATGGTGAATTTGCATTTTCCTTGTCTGTCTAGCCAGATGAGGAGGAGCACTTGTTAGTGTGCTAAGCCTCGACTCAGGAGTTTATCTCAGTTGTAGCTGGAGTGACACAAAGTGGAGAAGCCTTCTTTGGAGCTTAGTAGGGTCCAGAGGATCCCAGTTGTGTCCTGTCAGCAGAGCTGCTTTGGGAGCAGATCTGCTGAGGGAAGCTCTGCTGCCCTTCCTCCAGGTACAACGCAAAGCTGAGCTTCCATTTCCTCTCCCTTGTTTAGAGTTCTTGACAGCCTCCACCCGTCCTTGGCATTGAGAGCACTTTGTGTGTCGCTGCGTCAGCCCTGACTTCCTGCAGGGACTTCTGTTAGGTCAGGAAAGCTGAGGCTGATGACCCAAGCTGGCCCTGCAGGCTGTGGCACTGTGCTCTATGCTGCTAACCCAATTCCCACCCTTAGACTGGCAGAGAGGTACAAGGAATGCCAGACCATCAAGGAGAAGATCCTGAAGGAGATTGAAGTGAAAAAGGAGTATCTGAGCAGCCTCCAGCCTCGCCTCAACAGCATTATGCAGGTACTTGCTGAGCCCTGCGGGAAAGGAAAAGGCCTTGGGAGCAAGTTGGTGTGCCCCAGGGGTTGTGTTGGTTAGGGACAGCATCTGGGGCCCTTTCCTTTCCAGTCAGCATGGCTTGAATCCCAATCTGAAAGTGCAGGATCCCAGCAGAGCAAGCAGAAGTGTCAGAGCTGCTCCCTGCCTGGTTGGGTTTCCTCCACAG